AGTCTGCAACCGCACCACTAGATGCCACTAAACCCTACACACAGGACCTTGAAATACTGCTCGTGAAGTATCTTTTTCTTTTCTTTTTTTAAGCAACACTTTCTTTTTCTCCTTCTTATTAAGGCAGATTGAGCCTTGAGTTGAATAGAAGGTCTTTATCTGCACAGTTCGGTTTACTCACGGAAATGCTCTGTGATATGGTGTTAAAGGTTACTCTGGTGTACTCAAAGAGTGTGGTTCTTTTGTGGTTCTTTTGCATGTGGTAATGTGTTTCGTGTGTCTGTTTTGCTGATACTACTGAATCTTGCAATCTTTACAACCCTATATTTCATTTTTGGATCCAACTCCTTTCAAAGTTATTGTTGATGTAGTTTTTGCTCCCAGGCTGGATAATGTTCAAGGATTCAAAGTGATTGATTTTAATATTAGGAGAACCCAATTTTGTGTTGGAATCTGCCAGGAGCGTGTTTGGTATGAAAACTAAATAGGATTTATTACATATATTAACAATAACGGTACATCACCCTGGGATCAGGGACCAATAACCAAACTATTGAGTAAGTCTCAAAATGGTTGTGAACAGCGAAGGTTTGAATTCAAGCTCAGACTATAACAACCAGCTGGCATTACAGCACATCAGCACAAAATAATCACACAAACTACTCTTTAATATATCTATTCTATAACTGCAAGCATAGTGTGTGTGTGTGTGTGTGTGTGTGTGTGTGTGTGTGTGTGTAAAAGGGACAAGAGAGAAAATAGGAGAACGATGGCAATACTACATAATGGCGGCGAGGTTGTGGTTATTTAGCGGTGCAATAAGACACACGATGGAGGCTGCGCTTACACACCACGTGTTTATGAAACAAGCGTAACAGTGTGTGTGTGGGTTAGTTTAAAAGAAAGGAAAGAAGAAAAAGAAGGCATTCAAACAAGGAAAATCCTCACGCATCAGTAGAGTACAGCAACAGTTGAGGCTCACCAGAACCCCCACTGTTAAAGAGGGCCAATGGCCAGCGTAGCTGCAGTAGACACGTACTCCAGCATTCAGCCTCTTGAGACATTCAGCTGGAGAGAGGCGGACCCAACCAAGTTGCATGGGTTCCTCTCCACATGAGAAGGTGAGCTGGAAGTTGCATGAAGGACTGGGGCAGGTTTGAGGCTCGCTCTCTGGGTGTGTGCAGGGGAAGAGCCAGAGGAGAACACAGATGGAGAACCACTATGATCACAAAGGTGGTTGTCCAATCTTATGGATAGAGAGATTAGGTCGTCTAGGCTGGCTGAGTTATCCTTAACGTAATCCCTGAGTGCGTTCAGAAAGTTCTTCCAGAGCGACTTGTTCCACCCAGAATCCTCTGAAATAATCCTAAACTCTGGGACCCTGATTGAGTGATAGGTGACGTTCAGAGCCATCTTTTTACTTGATGGTCAAAAAGCTAACAAAGGATGAGCTAAAAGGTGAGTGGCTATCACACACTGCTGATGCCCAAGTTAGCACATACCTCTAAAGCAGGGGTCTCAAACTCGAGGCCCGCAGGCCAAATCCGGCCTGCCACGTCATTTTATGTGGTCCGCGAATCCGCCAGCAAAAAAAAAATAAATTTAATTTTTATTTTTTTTTTAAAGTTAGACTTGATAATAAAAATATCCCCATAGTTGAAATTATGAGATAGAAAGTCATAACTATGATAGAAAGTCATAACTATGAGATAGAAAGTCAAAATTATGAGATAGAAAGTCATAAGTATGAGATAGAAAGTCATAACTATGATAGAAAGTCATAAGTATGAGATAGAAAGTCAGAATGATGAGATACTTAAACACACAGTCACAGAAGCAGCTCTTTGGCTGGTTACTGTACACTTGAAATGGAAATGTATTGTGAGTACATTGAAGACTACTTTAAACGTGGCTTTAAAACACATGAAATACTTCACGTGGGATTGTGCAAACGCACCCTTGAAAGGATTTTAAGCATTGAACAAAGTTATTGTAATAACTTGTGTTTGATATTTGTCTTTGCTATTTTCTTTAATAGTTTGATCTTTGATAGAGTAATGTGGGTTTCTTAACCCTACATTAAAAGGATTTAAGTTATAATAACAGAAATGTATTTAAATATATTTTTACATTTATATAACTACATGTACAATATTTTAACACTTGAATAAACAATAATCAAATGCAGAGAGAGTTATTTAACAATATGTTAGGAGAAGTTACATTTACACCGTCTTACATTTACAACCGGCCCTTTGAGGGCGACTGTGATGCTGATGTGGCCCAGAGTGAAAATGAGTTTGAGACCCCTGCTCTAAAGTAACCTTATCATGTAAGTTATTTTTCAAGTATCTGTAGCATAGGTTGGTGGTTGTTGCTCAAACAGAGGTGAACACTGGATGAGAGAGAACCTGCATGTCCCCAGGTCTCCAGTGTAGCGCCCTGGCGCTGGGGCGTGAGGCTCTCTGGGCAGTGGAGCTTGCAAGACTGGAGGAGATACGAAAACAGCTGGACTCCCGGGTATGAAAGGGGCAGATGTGTGAAAACAAGGTTGAGCTGTTTCCCAATCTGAATCATTGTGGCTGAAAGACTCTATAAGGTTCCCACTATATCACGGTTGCAGCCTGGTCATTTTTTTAGGAGTTGGAGACCAAAACAGAGCTAAAAGGAGAGCGAATGCTGGACTTTCATGACTCGACAGCACTTGCGTATGCTGAATGGGAAAATTGGCAACTCTCGCTGACATGTTCACAATATCAACTATATAAGGTGATAATGTGTTAATGGTTACAACTTGATGTGGTTCTCCCAAGAGGCCAAAACTATTTTGATACAAATTGTATTATTTATATAATAATGATTTATATTGTATCAGGCCCCTCAGTTTGGCACAATCACATTAATCTTAAATCAGTCAAGTTGCCCTTTATTTACCCTTCTGGAAAAACCATGTTCCTGAATTTATTAATTTTAATTTATTTATTATACTACATTGATCCCTTTAAGGGGGAAATTTGTCTCTGCATTTGACCCATCCCTGTATATAGGGAGCAGTGGGCTGCCAATGACAGGCGCCCGGGGAGCCTGGGGTTCAGTGTATTGCTCAGGGACACTTGTGACACATCCCAGTGTGTTGGATCGAACCGTTGACCTTGAAACCAGACAACCCTCTTAACCCAGTGAGCCACGGTCGCCCCGAATCTTCACAGAAAGTGAATACTTCTACCATGATTGTCTGTGTGCTAGTCTTTTTGTATGGAAATGCCTGCAGGTCTTCTTTGCCTGGACAGGTATTTGTGTTGCTTTCTCACTACTCACTACTGTGTAATGCAGTGACGGGCCGTGCATTTTATACCTGGGCCTTCACTGTTGTCCTGCAGCTGAAATACCACCTTATAACCACATGATGGCGCCACAGATATTATCAGTTTCTAAGGCTGTAACTACGTACGTATTAAATGTACGTTATGTTCGGTACGAGACTTACAATACGTTTGAATAGTACTAGAGCATCTGGAAAATGCAGAAGCTTATACAGTATTCAGGAAAATATAATGTTTTCTGCACTCATGGAGGACAGTGGTTCTCAGCTGGTCTGGCTGTGGGACCCACCATCACTCCTTAATGACAAGTCCCGGCCCAAAGAGATCGTCTTATGATTTTACTTTCACAACTTGAGCTTTGTACGTACTGCTCTGCAGTGTCTTTCCTCGTCTCAGTCTCCTGTGTCATGGTGCATCTCACTCAGTCAGAATGCCCATATTTGATTGGCTGAGCTGCATCACGTGATGTGATTCACTGCCCGACATGCCTCTGCTGTTAAGCTTCGTTTCACGATAGTCACGTGCTCGCCCACTGACCAATCACAGCACATTCTGCACATCGCGGCAGACACTGAGCTGCACTAATGCTGACGTCATTATAGGCCGGCGAGCAGGCTCTGATACGTCAAAGAATACGGCCAACATGTCAAACTAAAGATCTGATTGGTTGAAGAATATGACGATCAACAATATCGTCCCCATTCACTTAAACTGCACATGGATGCAGGCCTCCGTCTGCAGGCCTGGGCCTCTCTTCTTACCTAGAGACACAGAGGTGAAATCTGATTGGATAAAAGCTCTACTTAAAACAAGCTGCACTGGAAGCAGAGCAACTGAGGAAGACAGTAGCTGTGCAATGAGAAAATAAGATAATGGGGAAAATAATTTTATAAATTATAATACATGTATTGTATTTAAAAACAATTATTAAATTATAAAATAGATATAGCTTTGTGATTCTGTTTAGGCCAGCAGCGAAGGCCCTGACGGCCCACCACTGCTGTAATGAATTTACCTGCTGTTGAGTCTTTTTAAGCTGAAATGAAGAATATTGTCAAACAGAACTTGTCTTTCAAAAGTATTTATTCTCTGGCCAGAGAAGAGGCTCAGTTATACAGAGTCACTCGGAGTCTGCAGGAGTGTGCACTACAGATCAACATTCGTACAGAGTTCTAAAGAGAGTAATCGTGCAGGCCGTGCTGTTAAAGAGGTATAAGAAGTGCTTTATCTGTTACAACAGACACACAGATGCATACGTTTCATCCTTAAGGCACAGAACATGTGAACATAGAATAGGGACTTGTTATCCAACACGAAGAAGAAGAGGACATGTGTGCAGGGAGTCAGCTGCATGGATCACAAGTTACATGATGCAAGCTTATGATAGTCTGTTACACAAGTTATAAAACAATTGTATTTTATAAGAATATAAAATACTCATAAGAATATCAAGTTTCTATTACACAAACAGTATATATTTCTACTTAGTATATTGTGTAAATGCTTAAGTACTTATACTTTAGCTCTGAACTCAGTAGATCTTCATTCTTTGTGTTAACATACGTGCTCAAATGTATCTTACTAAGTAGAAATGTTCCATTACACTACCTCTGTGATTTACCGTGTTTTCCCATCTGGTCATTGAAAGTTGTATTGATTGGTTGTTTTTCTCTCAAGGGACTGTGGCGGTGTACAAGGCACGTGTGAGGATGAAGCATCCATTATGTATGCCTGGGCTCGGAATGCACCACCCACTAGATTACCCAAAGGTATGACTCTTCTTTTTACTGTAACACCAGCTGTTATCCAACCAACCGACTAGAAGGTGTCAGCCCAAACTCAAAGGGTTGGTTCACAATTACTGAAAGTTCTATGTATTACCTGACCTCAAGCTGTATCTAGCCATGTGTAGACTTTCACTGTCATTTGTCTGAAATAGTCCACAGCCAGACTGGACCTGCTGTGTGTGTGTGTGTGTGTGTGTGTGTGTGTGTGTGTCTACAGATAGCAGAATATACATACTAAGCAGGACACTGTTTATAAATGAACTCAACTCAAACGCTACGTTATACTGATACACCGGCAATCAGCTGATTTTCTATATATGTCTCTGCGATTTCCCCCCCCCCCCCCATTAGTAGTATGTAATTGAAATGTATTTTGTGGTGTTTACATTATTGGTAAGCAGCATGTCTTTCCAGAAAAAGTGTGCCTTTTACCCTTGATAATCCACAGACCTCACTGCTTACGGTTTTCATCGAGACTATTTCTTAAGTAGAGTATATTATATGAAAATACTTGAGGTGAAGAAAGATCCTGAATGGTCAAGTAGTGGTTTTATGTACATCTTTCTGTCTTTTCCCCTCAGTTGTTGTCATCTCCTGGTTTCCATTCTTCTCTCTGTTCTCTTATTAGATGTTGGTTTTAAAGTTGGAAGAAGTTCTGGAATGTCCCACCTTGTGCTGCAGATCCATTATGGAGACGTCAGTGCTTTCAAAGGTTAGTCCTAATGGAAGTTGAAGGGACAATGCGACACCTTGTTATATGGATGTCTAATCAGTGTTGATGGTAAATCTAGTCTTTTCATCCAGCGCCATCATCAGTCCACATATTCTATATGTTCAATGCTTTGGTTTATGACCAGATTCCTCCAAAACTAATGACATTCCCTTTAGCCTCAGCTTTAATAGCAAATGTTAGTCTGATATCACGCTAAACTTTGGCTATTGTGCTCATTCAGAAGAAAAAAATATTTGCTTTGAAATAGAAATTCATGATGAAAAAAGTTTGACTTCAATGTTTTTGTTCTGCAGACCATCATAGAGATTGCTCAGGAGTTACCTTAAGAATGACATCCAAACTGTAAGTATTTACTTCAAAACAAACATTCATGTGATTCTGATATAAAAAGGAGAGTGAAATGTAGTGCCTGTATGAATGAAATGTACATAGAGAAATGTCAAGGGAAACATGATTTATGAAAAGAAATGTGAGCAACATTTGACAGCCTCCTATGCTCTGACTGTGACTCTTTGTGCCCTCCTCAAAGGCAGCCATTCATTGCTGGCATATACCTGCTCATGTCTGTGGACACAATTATCCTTCCAGGAAAAAGAGGTATGTTTGGTGTATTTTGTCCTAGATTTAAATATGCATAACCCTAAGCATGAATTTAGGCTTATTGAGGTTTTAGGAAACACTTCTGTTAGGGCATGAGGACAAATGATGCTACAATAACTTACAGTGTGTGAGGAGGGCAACCTGCCAGGAGCTTCACACTAGTGTTAAGTTTTAAGTTATTTATTTGAAGGTTTTAGGCTATGTATCAGGGTTTGTCTTTGGTTATTTATATATTAAGTAATTCTGTGTAGGTGATGTAGTTTTTGTTTAAGTTCAGTAGTTTTGTAGTTTCACATTTCGTTGTTCGGGTTCTCAACCCTCGCCTGCGTTAATGACATAAACAAGCAACAATAGACGGCAGCAAAAACATGATCACCTACAACAGAGAAACGCTACTGAACATTTAAAAGGCAGGACTGACCACTGTCAAGATTTTCTCATTCCGTATCTCCTCTCACACTTTCCTGAACTGAGGAAGACACAGCAGAGGAAGAGAGGCAGGCAAGCTGGGGTCCTGGTCCGAATGAGGTGGCATGCTCACCAAGAGGCTACCATGCAAGGTGCCACCTGCCCATCAGGACCTAAACTAATTCACATACAGTACATTCACATTCACGATGGCACAGCCTTCGGGATTTGGAGTTCAGTGTGTCTTGCCCAAAGACACTTGAGATCGATGGATCACTGCTACACTGTCCCAACATAGCTAAAAATGTTACCTTGCTTACCATTTGGTAAATCAAACCACTCCTCCATCTTCCTCCTCCCCGCTTGTAGGCAGAGGCTAAAATGGGAAGCCCCAGCCTAGAGGACACCACTGGTCAGACCAATCAGACACCATTCAACAGGTCTGTTTTGATCACATGGTCTGGGAGACATTAAAGAGCACAAATGACAATATCAACAACTACGCAGACACAGTCACCAGCTTAATTAAGAAAGCTGAGGAAATGAAAATATAAATCATGCCTAACTAGAGGCCATGAATTAACAGAGATGTCCATGCTGCTTTCCACGCACAGACCTCAGCCTTCATCTCAGGCTCAGTGGAGGAATACAAGCGCACACACTACACACTAACAACAGCAATCAAACAGGCAACAGATGGAGTCCAAGCTTGCCTTCAACAGCCCGAGGCACATATGGCAAGGACTCTAAACTATTAAATACTTCAAGTGAAAAAATAAAAACACAACACTCACCCTTCCAGATAAACTTTTACGCCAGCTTTGACCCCTATGCTGTCCCCCTCTACCACCACCGCCTTCCAGCACTGCCCCTCCTCCACTGATAATCTGAGTTGGTCGTTGGCCCAGACGGCATACCTAGCCGGAATGTCTGCGGCCGCCAACTAGCTGGGGTCTTCGCAGAAATATACAACCAGTCCCTCTCTCTCTGGACTGTCTTCACTTGCTTTAAATCCCCCACCATCATCCCTATTCCAAAACAAAAAACGGTAGCCAGCTACAGAGCTGTGTCCTTGGCTCCCTCCTGAATTCCCTCTACACCCGCGACACAGGCTTCACACAACATTGTGAATTTTGCTGACGACACAGCTGTTGTGGGTGTGATCACCTGCGGAGACGAGACAGCCTACAGGAAGGAGGTGACCATCCTGCAACAGTGGTGCCAGGACAACCACCTCTACCTGATTTTGCCAAACCAAGGAGGTCATTGTGAATGACAGGAAAGGCGGGGAGACTCAACTCCCAATCACCATCAACAGCACAGCAGTGGACATAGTGGACAAACTTAAATAACTGGGGGCAACAAGGACCTGACATGGGCTAGCCACATCAACTGTTGTAACAAAGGCCCAACAGCGTCCAGATACCGTCCTAGGCCGTACAGAAATTTGGCCTGAGGCCCCAAATCCTCAGGGACTTCTAAGGGGGCACTATAGAGTGCTTCATGAAGTGTTGCTTCGTCACCTCACCTGGTATTGCAGCTGCAGCTGCATGGACCGAATGGTGCTGGACAGGGTGGTGCGCACGACCCAGCACATAACTGGATTTGAGCTTCCCAGCCTGCAAGTCATAAGGACCTGCATAACACACCCACACAGCCTGTCCCTCCCCGCTGCCCTCAGGTAGTAGGTACGGGACCCCGAAAACTCACACCAGCAGACTGAGGAACAGCTTTTACCTCCAGGCCATGAAACTACAAAATAAATAACATACAAACACACACAATTTAATCCAAACCCTGTTCAAAAGCAACCACTTTATTGTTTGTTTTGTTTTTTCTTTGATGGATATTTGTATTGCTTCTTTTATTTTTCTATTATATTTAATGTGTCTATTTATATGAACTATTTATTTTCTGTCTTTTATGGAGCCTCCCCTGGAAAGCATTTCACAAAATTGTACTTGTATAACCAGCCTGAACATATATATCTTGAATCTTCAACCATTCGATCTGTACTAAAATTGTATGGCAAAGTGAAAAGAGGCAAATTTCAACATATAAGAAAGTTTTTTCATTTTTGGAGAGGTGTGTGTGCGTTTACATAAAGCTACACAGTTGCAACTTCAGCAACCTACTACAAAATTGTGAGGTGGATCTGGTTAACCTGCTAAGAGTAGCAAGCCAAAGTATAGCGACTGTAATTTTCTGTTGCTGGTAGTTGCCGCTATGACTATGATTCAAGATTGGCCTGTAGATATCTTCAGGCCGAGTCTGCCTAAGGCCATGTCCACACTACTTCGTTCCCATTTTAAACGAATATGTTTTGCTACGTTTACGCTGAGCGTCCACACTACGCCGGCGTTTTCGAGCAACGAAAACGGAGGAGTTTGAAAACACTCCCAAGGACGGATACGTTTGAAAACTCCAGGTTGCGTTTTCGTGTGGATGCTCGAAAATGGATAAGTTTAGAAATGATGACGCCCACACCCGCGTTCACTACTTGATTGGTTCTTAGCAGTCATGACGTGTCCTTCCCTGATTCGTCACATCCCTATCACCTGACCCTTACCCGGAAATCATAAACAACAACATTGATTACCGATCGACTACCAGGTTAATTTAACATGGACAACTGATTACAGGTGATGTTGACCTTGTTGTCTTTACTAGCAGCTATTGTTCAGTTAAAGTCTGCATTATTACGGAGGAAGCAGCTGTTATTGAAGCGATTAGCGAGCAGTGTGTCCAGCAGCGTTATCAGACCTACGGAGCGGACGTCTGAAGTCACGGTTAGCGGCTTTGGGGAGGGTGATGGACACAAAACGGAGGACTTTCCTGTCCTTATCAATGCTTATTTTGTTCTGCACATCTATTGTGAAGTCCACAGATAAAATGTAATGGAACAAAACAGTAATTGCTCTCCAGTAGGACGGAGACTTCAGCCACCAGCAGAGCCAGGAGTGAGAACAGACACAATGAAACCGAGGAAACGAGTGAGAGACGTGTGTTGACCACATTTATGGACCCATAATCTAGTAAACCTTTATGTGTAAGTGTTAATATAAAAGTAAATTTGATATGTGATAGAGATAGAGCAACAGTGCTGTCACTAAGTCTGAAAAATAAAACTTTCCACGAAATGTGTCTGTTTGAGTTCATAGAGGAAGATTTTAGAGAAGATCTTAAGTATCAAACACGACCTTTCATTATTAAAGACTACTTTATTACTCTGGTTGCTTAGTTTAAAAAAAAATACGACAATCTACTTCCTGTTTACACCGTCACCTACACGCATACCCAGTGTACGTGAAGAGTCACGTGATATTCGTTTTCAGGCGTTTTCATATGGACGGAGATCAATTCAAAAACAATGCTGAGTTTTAAAACAAAAACGGAATAGTGTGGATGTATCCTAAGTGTAGTCGAGTTGTTCACTCATGGCAAAAGTTCAAAATTCACCGATCCGCCACAACACTGCCGTTCAACTAGAACCTACAATCTTCACAATGGAACATCATCAAGGTCTCAAGGATTTTCTCAAATTAAAAAACAATACATAATCTTTTATTAGTTGATTATACTTTGATTTAATAAGTTGAATCTGTACCTGAAGCTGTTATATAAATATAGTGCAGTAAAAAGTGCACATTTCATTTTTCAAATGATGAAGACATGTACTTTGAATTTAAATATGATGCCAGGGTGCATAAAAAGCGTTGAGAAAAGACTTTGTTTATAAGTTAAAAACATGTAGTTTAAATCTCATGTAAAATGGATGTTATTCACATAACACCGACTTCCTGTAGCCACTAGGTGGCACTGTGACTATGAGTCAGTATTGGTATTCATAAGAACTTGGGCTTGGACTATCTGTTGCCAATAGGTGGCGTTATAACTAGGAGTGAATATTGCCATGCAGACATCCTCAAGTTTTGGTCAGATTTGACCGAGTATAGTCAAATTACAACAGCTTATTGTTAATGGCAAATCATGTAAAATGGCCACCACGCCACGGTAACGCTGTTCCATGAAACCTCAAACTTTTAAAAACTTTTCATTGCCAAGGTCTTTAGATTGTACTGACCAAATTTGAATTTCAATCATTTGATTTTCAATAGGTCTTCAGTTCCGACTTTGTCTTTGCTCATGCCCTAATAATAGTAATGGTAACAAACCTGCACAAACTCACTAGGGCCTTCGCCGACCCACTGCTAGTGGGTGCTTACGCCCTAAGAACAAAACAAAAAAGTGATACTGGTCATTTTCCCAGCCCTAACAGCCTTAGCACCAATATGTGTATAACTCACTTGCCGCCCAAACTGTCTGAGTCGTATCGTCCACATTCAAATGTTGCTGATGGAATGCATAATAATAGGACAATGTCACAAATGGGCCTGCCTTGACAAAAATGATTTTCTTTTTTTTAGTTACAAATGCAGACATCGCCTGTGATTACACTTCATATCCCATCTACCCGTTTGCCTTCAGGACCCACACACACCACCTTGGTGAGTCATACCAGAGCATTTAGCAGTCCGTTTCACTGTAATCTTATTCAGTTCCAGTGATAACCTGTATCAGTGTTTTTGTCACAGGTAAAGTGGTCAGTGGCTACAGGATCCGAGAAGGGAAGTGGAACCTGATTGGGAGACAGTCCCCTCAGCTACCACAGGTACGTTATTACATCTAATGGCAATTAAAAACTGACATGTTTGTACCCGGGGGGTTAAAGGTGCATGCATGCCATATAATCTGAATGTCCCTGGTTTGGCTCTGTTGGGGTCCGGGTCATACCGGGTTCTCTTTTTGTTTCCTGTCTGTTTCCTTCTTAACTATTAATAAAGGGGAAAATAGGGAGAAAAATAAATCTTTTTTTTAACCATTGACACATCTGTTTTATATAACCCACCGCTTGCTGTTGCCAGGAATGTCCTATACAGAAACCCAGTCCATGCCTTAATCTAGCACGTTAGCAGATCAGCAGCAGCTTTCTTGCTCGATCCGTGACCACACAGGATGAGTTCAGGCATAGAGTTCTCAGCGCTCACAACCCACTTCACTATCACTGTAGTTACTTGTGTAAAATAGAAGAAAGAAGACTTGCAGAGTAAAAATACACTTTCGGTTATGCAGGATAGCACAAGCCGATACACAGCCTGTGTAGACAGCTGTACTGCTTATCTGTGTATCTGTTTTGTCAGGATGAGACAGAACAGAACTGAAAATCACAGCTGAAAAGTTTCCTGTGTAGACACGCTGTTAGATGGAGAAGACTTACACTGATATTTAATAGGTCAAGATAAAATGTAGTCAGTCTCATGACAGTTTTCTTCTTAAATGCAGCAGTTGTACATCTAAGTTTAAAAGAAAAGAGTAGCACAAGAATGAATCGGTAAACAGTTGCAATATCGATTTAGGCAGAAACAATATCCCAAATTAAAGTTCTATTTTTCATTCTACATAATAAATATATATTTTTTATAGTGCTGGGCAATGATTCAAATTTGTAATCGTGATTAATCGCATGATTTTTTTGCGATTAAAAGTCTAAAAGTTAACTTGCATCACTTCATTGACTCATTGTCAGAGTTGTTCCCTGCACTTATATCTGAATAAGAAATCCCCCTAGGTGTTTGGCAACCTCCGGTTCTGAAAAGTGAAGCCAATGCTAGAATGCCTTAAACTTACATTCTCTCGACTCCTCTGGTTGTATAGAAGTCTATGAGAAAATGACTCAACTTCTCTCTTGATTTATTACCTCAGTAAACATGAGTTTATCGTCTAAATCTCTAGTTTCAAGTCTTCTTCAATACAGCATGATGTTCATTTAGTAACTTATGGTCCATTTAGAGTCAAATAGACCACAGAGCAGCGTATGCTTTAGGGTGGGCTACCTTGTGATCGACTACCCCTTCCAGAGCAGTATACATCATTCCTCCGCGTTCCAAATATGGTCACTTCCGTTGACTAGTTGCAAAAACCCAAAATGGCGACAGTCAAAATGCCGAAACTCTAGGCTTCAAAACGGCAGTCCACAAACCAACGGTTGACGTCACGACAACTACGTCCACTTCTTATACACAGTCTATGGTTCTGCCACAATCAGTTTTCATTATTCTTGTAGTCATTGGTTGAGTTACTATTTCTTTTTTATTTCTAACTTGATCAATAAGTGCATCACTGCAAACTACAGTGCAAAAATGCAAACCTGTTTCACATATACACATACAGCAATGGAAATGTACATACACACTTTTAAAATATCTGATTGTAAATTTAAAATAGTATCAATAATCTTTCCATTTTATACTAAATAGTGAAGCCGAGTTATTGTAAAGTTTGTTTAAATATGTCGGCTATGAATTAATCATTGATCATCCTTCTGACGTTTATTAATGATGACTAAGACCTAAATGATGGTTTACATGTGCATGTGATGAATAAATGATATAGGAGCTATATATTCACAGTTGTGCGTAATGACAGCTGTTCTTCTACTCTTCCGAGTCCAAGGAGTTTTTACTGGTCCTCTCTGTCTTGTGTACATGACAGTTTTCTCAGTCACTGTACTCATCCCAAATCTCCTTTACTTCTAATGCCTAGTTCTTTGGAGCCTTAAACATTACAACATTAAAACACACTAGCAATGTACAGTAAGATTAGCTGATACTACATGTAAATAGGTGGCTAATATCTAAATAATTAATAATATATAGAAGGGATATCACGATACCAGAAATGTAGTAGTCAATATCAATACCAGTAAAATTCCACAATTCTTGATACCCAATTGGTATCAAACCAACAACAACAAAAGTATAAACAACGCTAGTGTTAGGAAGTTAAACAGGTCATAATTCCCCCTCTATTATTTTGTATGGCTGTGAAAAACATCTCATTCAAACAATATTCAGGTTTGATCACCCTATCTAGAACACATGTCAACGTTATGATTTACCTTTGCCTGAGAAAGTTTTTACTGAATTAAGTTTAAAAGCATCATAATGAAACTCCCTGGGAAAAATAGGGTGCGTCCAACAGTGAGTTTACTTCGTTTTCAGAATTTTGGCATGGAATTGGTACCGATTTTTATTGATGTATATTTTAAGTAAGACATCGGAGTTCAACCAAGAAGACATCGATCACAACAGTTTTTAGTTTTTAGTAGAGTGCTGTTTGCTCATTGCTCAGCAGTGAATGTCTTTTCTCTCCAGGCTTTCTATCCTGCTAACGAGGAGGTGAATGTGAAGTATGGTGATACAATTGCAGCCAGATGTGTGTTCACTGGGGAGGGCAGAACCTTCAAAACATATATTGGGTGAGTTCAGTTGTTTAACTTAATGTACCTAATGCATTTTTACACCAGATTGTAGCTTACATAACTCAAAGGTTTCTATGGTTTATTCTAGGTTCTGTTCAGACTACTTGAATAATAGATGAGCTCTTGTTGGCCCCCCTTTGGACTGTGTTTGTATTGAAATATAGCCTACAAGCACTTATCACAGACAGTAATTGTGTCTTTATTCCAGTCATGGTCTGGTCTCCTCTGCAACACCTTGTGTATCTTTACACTTGCTGTCTGATTGTTCATGCAGTGTTACAGCTTTGTAAATACTTTATCTACTGTCACGGTCCGGCAAAAAAACAGGGGATGGACCCAAATGCAGATAGATAGACGGGGGCGAAGCTGAGAACCCCAGACCCATGGCCTGGGGGCAAGGCAGACAGGCAGAAGCGCTCCGGGGGGCAGTGTTCTCTAGGGGGCGGCTCTCTGGAGACTGGGGGTCTGGGCTTTGGAGACTGGTTCTCTGGGGCTCTGGACACTGGAATTCTTGATTGGATGGCAGTGTGAACAAGGGGTTGCTGCGGCCCAGAGGCGACAGGAACCAGGGAACGCTGCGGCCCAGCGGGGTCAGAAAATAGGGGAACGTGCAGGATCAGGAACCGGAGATGGCTGCGGCCCAGCAGGATCAGGTACCGGAGATCGCTGTGGTCCAGCGGGAACTGGAGCCGGAGTCGGCCAAACCGCCGACAAGACACGTGGAGCGGGAGTCGGTCCGCCGTCGCAGGAACTGGCGAGACGTCGGCTTGGATCGGCAAAACCCAGGAAATGGTAAGACGTTTGCTTGGACCGCCGACCCTTGAACAGGCGAAACATCGTCTCGGGCGGCTGACACAGGAACTGGAGAGACTTCGGCTCCGACGGCTGACACAGGAACTAGAGAAACCTCTGCCATGCAGCTGAGCAACGGAGACTTTGAGTCGCTGAGTAGCTTGGGGAACTGACCTCTCTTTTTGCCTTGCTTCCTTCTGAGGTTGGACAGGTGTCTTACCAGTTCATGGCTAGCTGACTGGATAATGTGAGGTCCTCCAAAGGCCAGGCGGGTTCCCAGAAACGGGTTAGGGGCTTGGACAGGCTGAGAACAGGCTGGACACTGGCAGGCTGGTGGCTAGCTGGCTGATGGCTAGGCTAGGCTTTTGTTGTAAAGTGACCAGGTGTTGAACAGAGCAAGTTTCAATGGAGTGTTTTGTGATTGGTTTTGAGGATTTGGGGAGGGTTCTGAGGTTGGCTGGATTCACGTGCTGTATGGTATGATGACGTAATGAAGGAGTGGCTAACTCTATATTAAAAAAATATAATAATAATAATAAAAAAATAATAATACAGTTCATATACACTAAAATGATGTGTAAAAGCTACTATTGTAGCCTAATCAATATTAATCTCATCTTACTCATTCAAAATAACAACAATCACAAAACGGGTGTAAAAGAAGTTGACACATATCATTAAACACATAACGTGAACAGCAATGCTAGCTTTGACCAGTACTAACATTACATGTCTGGATCTTACCTTTGTAACTGTGGCCGTAGCTTGAAACGTGGTTTGAACTCCTCCTCCTTTTTAGTTGTTAACGTATGGCTCAATGCTTAAATAATGAGACTAACGTCGTTGACCGTCTGGGACGGAGTGAAAACCTGATAACGATACGCCACAGAGATATCTTTTCAATACCTGTTAAGCATTTCCAACTAATCATTATTTATAGAAACTCCTACCTTTTGTGAAGAACTTAGTGAAACGCTGGTACATTTGGTGCTGTTGAGTAAATTTCACAATTTGTAGCTGATCATTTCTATCCTCAATTTATATTACTTTGAAAAAATGTATTATCAGGATTTACTGAGCATCATTTAACTGTTTAAAGATAATGTGCTCAATTGTCAGTGAATATTGAGAATTTATCCTTTGGACTGCAAAGCTATCGATGGGCAGCAGTCACAGTATGATATTGAGCAGGTCTTAATTATACAGACATTGCAGCTTTCCTCCATTTTTACGTATAGTACCATGAGTGATTTATTTGAGCCGGTTACTTTTCTGTTTTGTCTGCAGCGGTACCTCTGATGATGAAATGTGCAACTTCTATATAATGTACTACATGGACAGCAAACATGCCATCCCCTACATGAACTGCATGGAGTCCGGCACCAAAGATCTGTTCCAGCACATTCCAGCTGAGGCCAACATTCCCATCGCTGTCAGTCCAGGTCATATGAACTCTATGATGCATATGGGGCACTCAACAGGTACAAGGGCATCAAATATTGTTCATGTTGCATGCTGCTAATCCATTGTTATTCAATTTAGCATTTAATGTTGAATTTTTAGCTTTTTTTGTTGGATAGGAAGTGAATGTATACTTATGTAAGGTTCACACTTGCTATTGTCACTTTTCTCAATGTACGCCTCCTTGCCTTTTTTTTTTTTTTTTTTTTTTTTTAATAGTTTACAACATTTACATTGTTCAAAAAGAACCTGCCTAATTCAACTTTACTTTTCCTCCAAAGACCATCAAGATAACAAATTGATGTTGGATGAAAACAAAGCAGAGCAGGCTCTGGATCAGGGTAAGTTCAAGGATAAAAAATTCCAGTCTGATAACAGGGGAGTGACCAGTAGGAAATTGTCCTGGGGATGACAGAGTCAGTGGGGGTCCCGGGCTTTGTTAATGAGCCCGACTGCGGATGGGAAGAAACTGTTCGTGTGGCGTGAGGTCTTGGTCCTGATGGACCTCACGCCTCCTGCCAGATGGGAGGTGCATGAACAGTTTTTGTCCAGGGTGAGAGGGGTCAGCTACAAGCTGATGTTCAGCTCCCACTTGAGGTCCTGGGTTATGGTTATGGTGGAGCCCAGGAAGCGGAAGGACTCCACAGCGTCGACGGGGGAGTCACACAGGGTGATGGGGGCAGGTGGGGCTACGTTCTTCCTGAAATCCACAACCATCTCCACTGTCTTTAGAGCATTGAGCTCCAAGTTGTTCAGACCGCACCAGGTCACCAGATTGTCAGTCTCCCACCTGTAGGCGGTCAGAGTGTCCCAGTGCAGCACGAGGGACGGCGTGATAGGCCCCGCTTAGGTCCCTCGTGCTGCAGTGATCTAGAATGTTCTCCTCTCTAGTTGTGCATATAATGAACGGACTGTATTTAGGGAGTTCATGACTGAGGTTTCCTTTGTTAAAGTCACCAAAGACAATAACTAAAGAGTCCGGGTTGGTCCGCTCCACACACAGTATCTGTTCGGCGAGTGTCCGCTGTGTCTCCTGCACGTTACCCTGTGGCGGCATGTAAACACCGACCAGTATGAATGAAGCAAACTCACGGGGGGTAAAAGGGTTTACAGTTTATGATGAAAGATTCCAGATCAGGAGAACAGTGCTGTAGAATCACTGTCACATCGTTGGTCCACTCTGAACAGCTGGAAGACAGCCAGCTGGAACGCGGAGTCGGGTATGGATCCACAGAGCCAGGTCTCAGTGAAGCACAAAACGGAGGAAGAAGAAAAGTCTCTGTCTCTCCCCATCGCTGAAGTTCGTCCAGTTTGTTGCACAGTGAGCGGACGTTGGAGAGAAATATGCCCGGCAGCGGTGTGCGAAATCCACCTGTGCGGAGACACACGAACGCGCCGGCCCGTTTCCCAACCTGTGGCGCTTCACTGGTTAAGGTGCTCTTAACTCAAAGGTGAGAGCACCTTTGATGAGAATGTCCAAAGGTTAACTTCTGTTAACAGAAGTTAACAGAAAAGTTGGAAGTAAGTCCGCTAGAGTTGTTCCCCTGATGTTTATGAGCTCGTCTCTGGTGAAAGAGCTCCGGGTATCGCAGCAGAAAACAGTATTTACAACAAAAACAACACAAAACAATGAGCACCAACACACCGAGGCAGCCGTCCGCGGCGCCATCTTAGTAGAGAAGTTGGAGAAGGTTGCCATGTAATGTAAAATTTCTTAGTCAACCCTCCAAGAGAGAACTTGATTTTTGCCAGTTTAAGGAAAAACATTAGTTAAGTCTACCAAGAGCATTGTATAGGCATATCTAGGTGGACTGTTTTGTTAGTTCAGCTATGCTTAGGTGTATTCTATGGAGCACTTTAAACTATATAAGATTAAGACGGGCTCAAAAGGAGGAATACTTTTGTTTGTTGTTTTTTTTGTTTGCTTTTTACCACCAGGGGTCTTGAAAACGTGTTCCCAGTTCAGCCTTCTTCTTGTGAAGAAACTTTTCCAGTCTTTTGGCAAGAATGAATGAGTCTAATTTATAGTAATTTCAACACAGAGATTGGCCTATACCACACGTGTCAAACTCAAGGCCCGCGGGCCGAATCCGGCCCGCCACGTCATTTTATGTGGCCCGCGAATCCGCCAGCAAAAAAAAAAAAAAAAAAAGATTTTTTTTTTTTTTTAATTTTGGAAAATAAATTTAAAGTTAGACTTGGAAATAAAAGTATCCCTATGGTCGAAATTCTGAGATAGAAAGTTGAAATTCTGAGATAGCATGTTGTCTGTGTACCGACATTAAAACTATCACAACAGGTGGACAGGAGAGGGAACAGCCCGTAAAGTGGTTTTCCAACAAGTGATTGAGTTGAAAAAGATCGACAAATAATCCCAAAATGTCCACGAAGAGAAAAATTGATGCAGAGGGAAGAAAATGTAATTTAAGATGGGAAAGCGAATACATGTCTGTGCTTCAAGGAGAAAAATGGGTCTGTCTTCTGTGCTAGTGTGCGTGTCGGTGATGAAGGATACAATTCACGTCGGCATTTTGACACCAAACACGGAGCTAAATTTAGCCTCCAAGAAAAACATAAAATTGTCCAAGAATTAAAAGGCAGACTGCAATCACAGCAAAATATATTTACAGAAGCTACAGCCCAGTGCATGCTAAAGGTATGTGAGCAGGTGAGCTCCGACCAGATACAGACTTTTACAAATGTCAGTTTGTGAAGAAACACCATCGCAGACCGAGTTCAGGAACTAGCAGCAATCTAACAACACAGCTAGCTAAGAGATGAGCAGGTACTCGTCTTCTTCATTAGCTGTTGATGAAAGCACAGACAACACGGATACAGAGCATCTATCCATGTTTATAAGACCTGATCTCAGTGAGGAGCTCTTGGATGTAGCTGCCATGCGCGGGATGACGACGGGGACATTAGTGATGCAGAGGTGACAAAAATAGCTTTGAACAAAGTTAATGTAATAACTTGTGTTTAATGATATACGTCTTTGTTATTTTCTTTAATAGTTTGATCTTTGATAGAGTAATGTGGGTTTCTTAACCCTAAATTAAAATGATTTATGTTATAATAACAGAAATGTGCTTAAATATATTTTTACATTTATATAACTACATGTACAATATTTTAACACTTGAATAAACAATAATCAAATGCAGAGACAGTTATTTAACAATATGTTAGGAGTAGTTACAGTTATACAGTCTTACAGTTACAACCGGCCCTTTGAGGGAAACCATGATGCTGATGTGGCCCGGAGTGAAAATGAGTTTGACACCTCTGGCCTATACGATCCACATTCTATTTAGTCTTTTTCCACTTTGTGGATAACCTATATCACTGCCTTGCTCCAAGATGGAGGCATTTTAGCATCTGTTAAGGTTATATTACTAAGAAAGCTTGGTATTAATTCAAATCAAAATGCCTTATACTACTCTAATGGAAAGCCACCTGGGTCAGGTGATTTATTTGCTTTAAGCCTGAAGATGTTTAGTTCTGTCTCAGTTACAGCTGCTGTTGTTCCTCTGATAGAACAGGCAGGTTGAGAGAATTATGGAATTTAACAATTGGTGGTGTGTATAATACTTGTACTCTTTAAATGTTCTTTGTATTTCATCTTGTTTATAATGAGTCCTTTTAGAAACCAGTTCTCTAATTCAGTATATAGAGCTTATTGTTTTTGTAGGTTTCTCGCCAGAAGTTTTTTGGATTTTGGGCCAGACTATATTACTGTTTTGTAAATATTAGCTTATTTTCAATTTTCTTGTGGATATAATATATTTATTTTGTTCCTTATTATCTTAATTTTTATCACCAAATTCGTTTTTGTTCCCCTTTTATCTATCTTTTAATTATTTATCAAGTCTTAATTGTTTTGAGGTCTGAGGACCTCACCACCATAACTTAAAACCCTTGTGAAACCATGTCCCTCGTTGCTTCTGCAGTATCCTTGGATAGCCAGGTTCCATCATCATAGAATGGTAAATAGACTTGTACTTGTATCGTGCTTTTCTAGTCTTTTCGACCACTCAAAGCACTTTTTCACTACGTAATTCACCCATTCACACCCATTCATACACTGATGGCACAGCTGGAGAAAGTTGGGGTTAAGTGTCGCGATCATACCGCCGATACTCTAATTGAAGACGAGATGATCTACCGCAGAGCCAGAGTCGCCTACATCCTCGCGGGATATGGCATCTGAGACTTTATTTGTTTTTCTTTCAACATCTTCTTGGCTTTGGGGTATCAGGGTATTGGGGTACAACATTTCTTAAGCACTTCGAGAGGAAGCCGTGGTCAGCGTAGAAGCAAACGTTGCTCCTTTTTTTTCTGCCATGCTCTCCGGAGCACCTCTAACTTCGTCTAGTATCTCCAAACTTGACCACTATATAGATTGGGGCTCTGCCTTCATGCCGTTGCGCTTTGGAGCCATTCGTCGTGTGTCCGCTCAACTCTGAGCTCCTTGTCACGGGAAAGGTCAAGCACGCTTTTTTTTTTCATAGCTTTTCAAGTTATCCAGAAAACCAGCCAAGTTGGTGCCTTCTTTATTTTCGGGTATTCTGTGAATCCCTAAATTATCTCTCCATGCTCAACTATTTTGGTCTATAGCCTGGCTTCCAAATTAGGTTGGCGCAGCCACTTAATAAGTGTTGATGTTGCTTCATGCACAGTCTCAGTTTCATCTATTCTTCCCTCCGGCGACTCCAGACTTCAGTTTTTGTTTGATGTCAGATAGTTGTACCCTGTTAACCTGCACAGACTTAGCCTCTGCCTCTGATGCATCCTCGTCATCATCTCGTCTATCATCATCACTGTCTTCTTCCTTGGCAATCTTCTGCCTGGCACTTTTGAACACTGAAGGATTGACTGAAGGACAGTGAAGTCCTTGTATATCTGGGATCTGGGAGCATTGTGACAAAGCAGCATCACGTCCCTCTCCAGGTATCTTCTGAATTCCCTGAATTACTTCTCAAGCTAGCTTCGGAGCTATCCTCGTCATGAAGCCCGGAGAGCTGGTTCGACTACCTTGGCTCAATTCGGGATCATTTTATATCACATTTGTGGTTGGCCTTCTTCTTGTAGTAAGCCCTTTCTCCATTACTAAAAAAAAAGTTCACTGGGATTTACAAAACCAATGTTTTCTGGGGTTATTTAACAAAACCATCAAGGAGCTCAAAAATGAAGCTCCCATCCTCTGTGACGTAACTTATTTTTGTGATTTCTTTTATCCGTTTAACTGATAGCACGGTTTATCAAATAAGTATGCTTTGCTTGTACCAAGAAAACACGATGTTGAATGTTAAAATGTCACCATGTTCGGTTGAACATTATTGGTATTATTAAGTACTCCTATCGGTAAAAAAACGTTTTATTAGTTCATCCCCTAATATATATATATATATATATATATATATACCTCTCATCTTGTGAGGAAAGAGCCTGGAAGACGTTCAAATCAGGGAGTACAAATTATAAAATAAATACCAACAATTGTACATCATATTTTTTGTCGTTTTCATGGTAATGTGATATGTTGCAGCAAAGTGCTGTCCCATTCCTATTTACACCATCTCAAGCCCTCACAGTCTCTCACACTCAACCGCTCTAGCTAATCGAGTGGCGTGCTAACGTGAGTGTAGAGTTACGCTGCCGGGCCACCCTTCACAGTGAGCAGAGTGTTCCTGCTCAGGCTAACTTGGTGAGATGCTAGTTGGACTAGATCGACGTTGACATTGTGCCCATTGATTCCTTACACGGCTATCATAGTTAGCAGAGCGTTCTCGCTCTGGCTAACTCTAGACTAAGCTAATACTTGGATTGTGTCCATTGATTGTTTGTAAACATTACGGCTATCACAGTTAGCAGAGCGCCCTCGCTTAGGCTAACTGGTGGGACACCAAGAGTTACAGCAACTGTCCAAGTGAAGAGAGTGTCCTCGCTCCCCTCTCACTGTAAGGACTGTGTTCTTTTTTTGTTGGCCGGTTTCCACAGTAGCAGAGTGCTCTCGCTCAAGCTAACTGGTGGGACACCAATATCTGCAGCAGCTATCCTAGTGAAGAGTGTGTCCTCGCTCCCCTCTCACTGACTGTCCCCTGCCTGTTCTCACGACATTCAGCAGAGCGTCCCGCTCAGACTGACCTAGAGAGTCGGCCATGTTTGACTTTCCCGGCTGTAGGACCTGTATGGCTCCACTTCAGCCTGAGGATGGCCATGACCTCTGCCCCTCTTGCGTTGGCCTCGAGCATCTGAGGGAAGGCCTCTCTGAGAACCCATGCATGAACTGTGGCATCATGCCTCGAGCAGTAAGGGCTGCTAGGCTCGCCGAGGCGTAACACCTGACGGGTGTGGTCGACTTCCCCCTTTCAGGGCAGTTGAATCCAGCCCAACCTACCCATTCCAAGCGCAGGACCACAGAAACCGCAGGGGGGCCCTCAAGTCTAGCGAGCTGTCTTTTCTAGAGTGGATCTGCTGACCGCCGAGCTAGCTCAAATGAAGTCGCTTCTCCTGACCCTCCACCCTAGTGCAGGGGGGCTGAAGCACCAGATCCACCCGCAGCTGAGCTTGGCTTAGAAGAGGACGTTATATCACTGGCAGCGTCAGCCAATCTCTTTACTGAGTACAGTGAAGAGCGGCCCTCCCATGCTTCTGGGCCTGGCTCCCGTTCCTCAGCTCAGAGCTCTTCGGAAGGGGCAGTCGATAGCTCCATGAGGTCTGTCATTCGCATGGCACTGGCACGTCTGCAGTTAGATACACAGCAGCCGGAACCTCAGCCTGCGAGTGCCTTCTTCAGGCGCACTCCTGCCCCCACCACCTTTGCCGTTCCTCCCTCCGAAGAATATCTGAGGGAGCTGCATGCATGCTGGAGAGACACCAGGACTCTGTCCCGTCTTGCATCAGATGAACGAACCCTAGCGGCCATGCAGGACGCAGCAAAATTTGGCCTCGCCCGTATGCCAGCCGTTGAGCTGACTATTGCGTTCCTCATAGTTTCCCCTGAGGACACCCTGAGACCCGATGCCAGGTGCCCTCAACCCCAATGCCGGGTCACGGATGACCTGCAATCCAGGGCTTATGACACAGCAGCGCGCATGGTTCATATTGGCATCTCCCTCTCCCACCTCATGCTTGCCCTCTCAGCTTCTCTGCAGCAGGCTACTCCCGATGCTTCCGCCACCAGCCTCAGTGATGCCTCACTGGGTCCAGACAGTCACCCCTGTCTGAGACATGTAGGAGGACCCTCCGTACTATCCCAGTGGAACCTGGTGAGCTGTTTGGGTCAGCTGCTATACAGGCGCTTCAGCGGACTGTTGAAGCTAGCCAGACCAGGCAGCAGTTCTCTGGTCTTCTCAGGGACATGCCCACACCCCGCAGACCTAGGGGTCCTACTTCGCCCCCCGAGTCCGTTTTCAGCCCCCAGCTCACCCCAGTAGCCGCCACAGGCCTTAGCTTCCCCCTGAGAGGCCGAACCGCTACCCATACAACCCTACCCACGTCCCCCCAGACAACCTCCGAACTTGGGGACTACCAGTCGCCCCCCCAGAGCCTCAAGAGGCAAGGGGTTCAGGAGATGGCCGGCCGGCCGTCGGTTATTTCTCCCAGCAGCACATCAGCTACTGGGCAGCTCATGCTTCTGGGTGGTGTCCACCCTAACCCAGGGGTACAAGCTTCAATTCCGACGCCGGCCTCCAGCCGGGTCAAAATGACCAGCATCACCGATCTGGCAAAATCCCTAGCCCTCAACCAGGAGTTAGCCGCGCTCCTGGTCAAGGGTGCAATCGAGAGGGTGGACCCTGTTTCCAGGGGAGAATGGTTCACGTCTGTCGACCTGAAGGATGCCTATTTCCATGTTCCCATTGTACCTCACCTTGTGATGTGGCTGCTGATCATTAAAGGAGAAGTAGCACCCATCTACCACCTCGCCCCTGGTGATGCCACAATATATCATTTCATGACCATATGAGCTGAGAGCAAGTGGCTTGTTCAAAGTGATTCTGTGGGCTATTTTTATTTCCAGAGCAAAGTAAGGTAATATATTATTAGAAGGTAAGAACTTTGAAGTGTATTAATAATTCAAACCTTTAAAACGTAAGGGTAATTGGAGTAATTTAAAAAAAACAATAATGAACATTTTTAATGGACTATAAATTGACAACTGAATTTATTTGATCTAATACTGTACAAAAAAATAAGAATTTATCAAAATCTGTATTGTTCCTAATCACTGTCATATCTCAATTTGTGTCTTTTTAATTTAAAAACACAGTGGCATCATCTCAAAACCTGGCATTTAAATGGTTAAAATTCTGAAAATGAATAAATACTTGGTAGTTATAATCAGCACTGATGTTGGTTAATAAAAAAAAAAAATTGGTGAAGTGGAAATAATATTATATTATATTTTGTCTTATATCTGGCACTTAACAAAAAATAGCAATGCACTAAAATCAATGTTGCTAATCATTGTTATATCCCAGACTGTTATAATCCCCCCAGCAGTTAATATGTGGAAGCTAATATATTTTGTGTTTCTTTCATTAAAAGCACAATAGTGGCATTATGTAAATATAGTGATATTTAACGTGTTAAAATAAATAAAAAAGAATGAATATCTGGCAGTTATCGGGACTGATGTTGATTGAAAGATTTAACAAACTAAGTGGGAAAAGTGAGGCACAAGGATATTGTATGCAGACAACAGAGGTAGCGGAGAAAACTGTCGTCTTGGATACAGTAGTCCTTACAGTGTGTTAGTGTGCATGTTCAGGCCTGCACACATGGATAGGTTTTATCAGCTGTGTACATCTGGACACTCCAGTTCTGGCAAGACACTTAACCCCAAATTGCTCCCATAGGCTGTGCCTGTGTGTATGAATAGCTATGAATGGTTAGATGGCCCATTCACATTCCCTGATGGGTAGTTTGCACCTTGCATAGCCCATGCCATCAGTGTATGAATGGGTGTGAAAGTGTGAATGATGACATGTAGTGTTAAAGCGCTTTGAGATGAGAAGATTAGAAAGGCGCTGTACAAGTACAAGTCCGTTTACCATCTATACAAGTACAAGTCCTGTCCCCATTCTCCTGGGAAAAACTTGTCTAGCTCTGTCAAACTGCTAGACTCTGCGGGTAAACAGCAATTTTGAAGATGGTGCCACGGATCACTGCCACAGTTCTGAGCTCTCAAATACTTTTCCTGTTTTTATATGTTCCATCATTTGTAATTCTCATCTGTTCAAATTCACAAGGGAGGAACTGCTAAGCATTAGACAGTTAACTTCACACATTATTCAAAGGTCTTCACAGATGCAAAACTTTTGTGGGATTTTAGCTGGAGGAGCAGAAGCCTCCTGTGGGACATGGAGGCAACCAGCCAGGGGAAGTGCTGGTGAAATTGCGACAGTGGGATTATAAACGTTGCTCCATCGTATAATGGAGTTATCGTGGAAAGCAAGAGGAGGTGTTAGCTGTTAAACCTTAACGAGGGTTAGTGTACAGATGTTGCAGTTTTAAAGAAAATCTGCAGTCCGAACCTAAGGTATTTTCATTAACTTGCAACCTTTTTTCGAAAACTGAAAATGTAATACTTTTAACAGATAATGTCATACTCGTGTAAATGTTCAGTCCGTACTTCTACATTTTGTGTTTTAAGAGTGTTTTATACATCGGATTCGAAATGAAAGACTGAATAAAGTGCAGACATTGAGCACCATACAGCCATAAGCACAACATACAACAGTACAATAATATACATAAAACAAAGCATCAACTTTATTATAATGGTCATTTGGAATTTTGTAGGTGTAAAGCTGTATATGCAATCTGGCAGTAAGCTCCAGTTTTTGTCATAGATATTTATTCAGGTTAACTTTTTGCACCATTGTGTTGTGTGTGCTTATCCATGCTCACCTCAGGGTTTAACTTGAGCCAGAGATACAGTAATAAATACTAAAACAAAGCAGACTGGAGCCTCTTTTATTAACAGTTACAGAATGCCAGCGATCACCTTTGACACCACGTTAACAATACCTCAACCTGTGTATGTGTGTTTGTGTTTGTGTGTGTATGGTGTAGACTACCATTTGGAGCAAGTCTCAGCGTGGCCTCAAAGTTCTCTCCAGTTGGGTCAGGTGTCAGGACTTGCCCTCGACTCAGATGCTAACTTGGTCATTTTCCACAGAGGAGACCACCACTGGGGGTCAAGGTATGTCGCTTCACTTATGATATATTCATTTTTGGTTAATAAACTGATTCTATCAGTCCTTGAAACAGAAAAATCATAATATATGTTTGAAACAGAATGGAATTTGTTTATCTGGAGGGCACACTATCATCACTACATCTTTCGGGCTACATCCACACTGCTACGTTTTCGTTTTAAAGGGCAGAACTTTCATGACGTTTATGCCTAACTTCCACACTACTCCGGCGTTTTAGAAACCCTCAAACGGAGTGGTTTGAAAACGCTACAGATGATGACGACACAGATACCCACGTTTGCTCCTTGATTGGGTCGTAGCCTTCATGGCATGGAGAGAGCAAACAATGTAAGCTTTGATTAATTCTTGATCAATTCAACATGGATAAGAAATTACAGGTGTTGCTGACCTTGTTGTCTATGCTAGCAGCTGTTGTGCAGTTCAATTCCGCATTTTGTAATTTAATTTATAGTTATTCAAGCTTTGCGAGCGCTGTGTCCAGCGGTGTTATCTGCACGTTTGAAGGCACGGTTTGCAGCTTTGAGGAGGGCAATGGACATAAAACCAAGGACATTCCTTTTCTTATCTACGCTTATTTTATTCTTCACAAATATTGTGTAGTTCACAAAAAACTGTAAACGCACAAAATAAATACTGCTCTCCAGTACGACATGTACTTCCAGCCACCCGGCAGAGCTACTAGCATGAGAACAGACGACAGCGAAACGAGTGAAAGACGTGTGTTCACCAAATTTTTAGACCCTGAATCTCAATAAACTTTTGATTTGTAACCGTTCATTTTAAAGTAAATTTGAGTAAATGTATGTGTGAGAGACGGCGATAGAGCAAGACCTATAGGCAGCCTTCTATCCAAGTTTTGAAAATAAAACTTGTTTTCTTTCCCCCACTAAATCTGTCTGATTGCATGTTGCAAATATAGATGAACATCTTAAGTATCAAACAAGACCTTTTATTATAGGAAGTACAACAATTCTCCGTTGAATTTTCTGAAGTCGATAATGGGTTGTCCATCAGATGACATGTAATCCATCTCTGGCAGACAGCACAGAACTGGTTTGAACTACAGCCTACATACAGAAAGGTCCTATCAATGGAGCTAATATTGCATGGATGACAGCTGGGTGTATTGAAGGAACAGCAAACCAAAAGAAGTTCAAATTGATATGTAAAAATCTTTCTCTGTGGAACTACAAACTAAATGTTTTTTTCAGCTCTTTTAACAGCCAGGCTAGATACCAGCAGAGGTCCCAAGGACCTATTCAGCAGTCCACTATTTTGGTTGTGGACCCAGCCAAAGGCAACATTCTGAAGGCATCTGGCAGAGATATGTAAGTTACAGTGTGCTTTAGTTTTCTTTTTTATGAATGCAAGTGCTAAACATGAACAGAGACAACCAGGCATGTTTTGTACTGTTGTACATCCTGTATCACAACCAGAGTGAAAACTGTCTGGTAATGATTCATATCTCTGATGTTGCAGGTTTTTTTTGCCTCATGGAATAACAACAGACAAGAATAATAATTACTGGGTCACTGATGTGGCTCTTCATCAGGTAATGTGCAGGTGGTATTCCATCTGAACTGAGTATGTTTAATAACCGGCTCTAAGTAACCATTGAAACAGATTGACAGTGCCGATATTGTATGTATAGCAGATCAGTTACATCATGAAAGTAAAAAGTAATGCCAGATGTCCATGTCATAATCGACGTCGAGAAATATATTTCTTCAACAATTCATAATGATGACCAGTCAATGGTGACCTAATTGTTCACACATTATTGTTTTTTGTAAATAATTTCTAAATAATTGTTATACACCATTAAAGCATAATTTGTAAACAGTAGGTCTGATGTTAATGTATTCAGAAGAGATTCAATACTCACAACACATAGTGAACCAGCACCAATGAAGAGTCCCCCTTCTGTCACTCATCAGGTGTTAAAAGTGAGCAGCGATGGCAGAGACACAACGTTGCTGGCACTTGGAGAGGCTTTCACGCCAGGAAGTGACAACAACCACTTTTGCCAGCCCACTGATGTGGCTGTAGACACTGAGACTGGGAACATCTTTGTGTCTGATGGCTACTGCAATGCCAGGATCCTGAAGTTCTCAGCTGAGGGCAAATACCTGTCTCAGTGGGGTGCAGGTAAGAATCTGACTCTACAAACACACAAAGCCTCTTGAATGTTTTAAAGCAGGTCTTGTTAGACAAAGGCCCTTTTCCGTCTTGTGTTAACAAAATGAATTTAGTTTTTAGAATAGGAGCTACAGTTTTTGTCTGAAAGGAAGTTGTATGACAGTTGCACCTCAGCTTAAACTCCATGCAAAGCCTATGAAACTGCCTAGTCACTTTGAAGTTAACCTGGCAGCCTTTGACTGCTGGCAAACAGGTGATTGAGATTACCTAACTAGAGCAGTTTGACACACATACAGAGACAGTAACACACACACACAAAAGAAAAGGGATTTCATAGTCTCTTTTTATGGAATAACATTGCTTTGTATTGAAGTTGCACTATTGCCCAAGAAAAATCTCCCCAAGCCAACCTCTTACATGTATTGCTACCATAAATTATGATTGTCTTATTTTTCTGACTAAAGGCTCATCAGAAAGGAAAAGGCGCATACCGTTCCGGGTCCCCCACAGCCTGGTGTTCCTTCCTGACAGACAAGAAGTTTGTGTGGCTGACAGGGAGAACGGGCGTATCCAGTGCTTCATAGCCCAAACTGGAGAGTTTGTCAAGGAAATAAAGAAAGAGGAGTTTGGAGGGGAGGTGTTTGCTATCAGCTACAGCCCTGCTGGAGGTGAGTTCACTGATTGAGCTGACCAGGGACATTCATCACATATGGTTTAAATAGTATCTTGCATTATTTTCCTTTTCAATTCCCTTTAATCATAATGAAAGATGAAAGGGTGCTCTATTTAAATTCATGGTTAGGACTTCTTGGAATGTGAAAGGTTGTATATTGTCTTCCAGGGGTTTAAAAGAGTCACAATGACGTCATCACTGGACACAAACAGAAAGCCATTTTTACAAACTGGAGGTGTAACACAGGCATATTATGAATTGCATAATGGAAAATGTAGGATCCAGTGTTTTTGGAGCCAATACTTAAGGGTAACAGTTGGGATATCGTAGCTAGAAATGCTAGAATACACCTTTGAAGCTGGAGTGCGGAACTTTTGTGTCACCCTTTTGGCAATGAGAGTAATTACACAAACACTGTTGACACATGACGTCTACAGGGGAGCTCGATTCTTCTCCTCTGTCTCAATGAGTCCTTCCTCGCTGTCGTTCTTGTTTTGAAGGTTTGTGAATCAACTCTGGCTTTCAAATGTTTGTTGGACTTGAGAGAGAGTTTGATATTAATGAATAGGAAGCCAGGGCCAAAACAATGAATGGGAGCCCAAAACCCTGGCTAAATACTGTCTAACGGTACTTTTTAAATTTGCTAGCATTGTCTGTTTAAACTCAATGCTGCATTGTTTAGGTAAAAACTCTTGTAGCGATAGATCACAGTTGGTGTAATCTAGGCAAACTTGACTCTCACTTTGAATCGTACAGACAAGTATGTAAAGTTTGGTCTAGATTTGTTCTGAGGAAAAATTCAGGCAGCAATGATTAAAATACTTTGATGCATTAGTGTATAGCGTGATCCCTGTTTGTCATACCAGCTAGATATTCACTGAAAATATCTTTCCCTGGCAGTGGTGGGCTTATCAGCATTGTCTTAACTTGTTTGGTAAGGGCTTGAATATAGCGGACATTCATTTAAATGTAAAAGTCCCGCACTGCAGCTTTAGTAAATGCTTTTAAGTCAAGGATTCCCTTTATATTGTGTAATCGCAAGTGCCTTACAATTATTTGTGTGTGTGTGTGTGTGTGTGTGTGTGTGTGCGTGTGTGCGTGCGCATGAAGATGGCTTTATCTTTGCAGTAAATGGGGAATCTCCATACCGCTCAACTCCACTCAGAGGTTTTGTAATAGATTATTCAACCATGGATATTTTGGATACCTTCAACCCAGAGAAAAAGGTAATTGCACACACACATACACGCTCTCCTCATTTCTCTCTAGCTTCCTATCGATACTATACTGAACTACTGGTGAAGGCTGTGTATGATTTAAAACGGAGGTCTCTGGCCCTAAGGCAGGACATTTTCTCATTTCTAAGAAAAAGGGCGCAATTGAGCATGTAGACAGTTCTACTGTCCTACTTCATTTACCACCTAGGAAGCTCCCCATACCATTGTTTTCAGGTTGTCATGAACTTTTAGGGTATACCACTTATACTGTACTTCCCATGCATATAGTATAACTGGTGTGACTAACCAGAAATCAGAAAGATCTAACTCGTTTATACAGGTAAATCAAATGTACTAATGAGGGCAAAGATAGCTCTAGATCAGGGGTGTCAAACTCATTTTCACTCTGGGCCACATCAGCATCATGGTTTCCCTCAAAGGGCCGGTTGTAACTGTAAGACTGTATAACTGTAACTACTCCTAACATATTGTTAAATAACTGTCTGCATTTGATTATTGTTTATTCAAGTGTTAAAATATTGTACATGCAGTTATATAAATGTAAAAATATATTTAAGCACATTTCTGTTATTATAACATAAATCATTTTAATTTAGGGTTAAGAAACCCACATTATTCTATCAAAGATCAAACTATTAAAGAAAATAACAAAGACAAATATCATTAAACACAAGTTATTACATTAACTTTGTTCAAAGCTATTTTTGTCACCTCTCTGCATCACTAATGTCCCCGTCGTCATCCCGCGCATGGCAGCCATTTTTGCGCACACTAATTCCCATTATTATTACTCAGTGCAATAACATCTTCACCTGACTGCTTAAGACTTTGGTTACCTCATGAGGTAACCGTAGCCTTCGGGCAGGACCAGATGTTTCAACCCTTAACCACAGTCACTTGGCTGTGACTGCCCATCTGCTCCTGGCTTCCACCTTCCCTCCTCTCTCCTACCCCATAACCAGCAAGAGGCTGGTTCTGCCTCCTCCCCCACCTTGTGAGCTACTTGTTTCTTGCTCCTTTCGTCCAAACCCAGAGATGACACCAACCGCCTTGCTAATTTGGCCGGGAAGCCTCTGCAGCCGATCTCCACGGTGAACAACCATGCCTGCCATCCCTTGTCCTTGCCCTCCTGAACCAAGGAACTTCAAGGCTTCTGGGCTCTTCTTGCACCTCTTCCACTCTAGACAGAAGCACCTAAACATGGCATCACCTGTACAGTCCTTAAGCTATAGATGTTTTGCATTCTGACAGTATGTGTACCAGTGTCCCCTTTTCACCACAGAGTTTGCAGTTAGTTTCCTGCATCCACCTCACTTCCTTGCGGTTACAAAGTTCTGCCTGGACCATTTCTTGCCTATTCTTGGCACTTACGTTCCTCCACTGCTACTCCGGATTTTTTTGTCTTCTTCAGCTGTTCTTCAGTCTGCTTAACAGCATTGGATCCGCAGGAACTCCTCTACCTCTGGCTTCAAACTGGATAGTGCCAGATTTTTGTTGGCCGAGAAGAGGCCTGGAGAAGCTGTAGGATTATTTACAAAAGAAGGATTGTGGCTCAGTGGTAGAACAGGGTCGTCCTTCCATCAGAGGATCGGCGCTTTGATGATATGTAGTGATGAGATGATGACATGTAGTGTTAAAGCGCTTTGAGTGGTCAGAAGACTAGAAAAGAGAAATACAAGTACAGTCCATTTACCAAACTGCTCACATTGTCTTTTTCTTTATTTTTTTAATTTGTTTTTTAAATATTTTTGGGCTTTTTGCCTTTATTACAGTACAGCCGAAGTTAGACAGAAAACGGGGAAAGAGAGGGGGTGACCTGCAGCAAAGGTGAGATGCTTCCTGACTGGAGTTCACAGGATGTTCAGTCTGTGACCAGCACTTGGGTCACCAATGTTCCACAACTGGACCTGTTCTGTTGTATCTTGAGCCCTCTGAGGTCTTTGTGGACTTTGCCACAATAACACCTTTCTGTGAATTACTCTCCTGTAATTTCGTATCTCCTGTCCTGGATGTTGCCAGTTTTATCCTGTAGGTGACAACTGTAGGTGTCAGGCTTTTTTATCAGGTCGCTTGTTTTGTTGCATGAGTAGCAGATGAGACTTTGGAAGCGCCTGCCAAGTCTGTTTGCTCCAGGTGTTGCAATTTCTGACATCTAAATACATTTAAAACAGAATAATAACAATCCAAACAGTTCCAAATATTTATATACTGTATGAATTAGAGATTCCCAATGCAAACAGAGGGGAAATTTGACCCAGCTATACAGTAAGCCAAGCTAAGCTGAGGGTTACCTCCAGTCCGAACTTAATGTCTGCCTTCTGAACAGACATGTACTCTACCCAGACCATTGGGTTTTTGGAAAGGTGATCATTTTTGTTGCCTAAACTTTGCTGTATTGTCTTTCATTTGCAGGAGTTTAAAATGCCTCACGACATAGTTGAAACCAGGGATGGTAGCGTCTTTGTCGGGGATGCAGGCAGTAAATCAGTCTTCAAGTTCACCACTGACAGTAAGCTCAGCTTCATTAAGACTATGATGAATCTAAACTATTTAATGTTCTCTTGTGCAGAATCCATCTGAACTTGTGTGTTTGCGTTAAGTGAAATTCACTATTGTAGATATTGGTGAGAATGCAGAAATCATCATGTCCTTTTTTTGTGACTTTGCAGATGAACTGTACCTGTAATTTGACTTTGTAGTTTTATTAACCTGTATCCACTGGATTTTTCATTTTCATTCTAAGAGTTACATCGCTCTGTCAAGAAAGCTGGTATCGAGGTTCAAGAACTTGATGGTAAGTATTGTTGAGTTTAACGTTTTTTATGTTCTTTATCTAAGTAAAAGCACAGCTGCTGCTGAGGGTCCAGCCTGTTGCTGCTGATATTTGCTGACACCTCAAGGAAACACACAGCATGTGACGCACATTAAAACATGCGTGAGTCGTATCCAAATCAGTTCATGTATGTGGGGATATGCCTATGTTCTCTTCTTTACAATGAAAAGTTGACTTATTCTTTGAGAATCCAAAAACACATACTCTGTATAACTCCACCCTAACGTTTCAAGCTCCTTTCCTCTTGATGAGAATAGTAGAAATGTAAGCTCCCTTGGTTCTAATGAACAAAGTAACGTTATCGTAAGATGGCCATCCTTCAATCAGAGCATCGAGGGTTTGATCCCTGGCTCAGCTAGTCCATGTCAATGTGTCCTTGGGCAAGACACTTTACTCCAAGATGCTCCTGATATGGTAAGATGAGATAAGATAAGATAATCCTTTATTAGTCCCGCAGTGGGGAAATGTACAGGATCACAGCAGCAGAGTGGACAGTGCACACAAGGTACATGGTAGAAAACAAGAGCAGCAAGTATTATAAATAAGTAATAAACAGTAAAGAATATCAACTAAGTAAAAAAGTACAAAAATCCACAATAACTAAATATAACTAAAAATATTATATATAAAGACTTAGCCACAATCGCCCATGATAATTGCTGACAGACTGAAGTTAGAAGTACACATCAGTAGGCTGTATGTATGTGAGTGTAGATGTCTATATGGGTAGTTGCACCTGTACAGGAGGAGGGTGTTTTTGTTTTGTAAAGATGTTGAAAGGCTTTTGTACACTCTGCAATATGGCCGCTTCCAAATTAAAATAATTAGTTTAGAAAAGTTGGGCAATAGGCTAACTCAGTCCCCAGCAAGAGGATTGTGTCTGTCTTTGACACTTGCACTACTGGCATGTTAGTTAAGATTGTCAGTGTGCAGTCACATATGTTAATATCAAAGTGACAAGAATTTGAACTTGAACTAGATTCTGGTTGCCTTTACAGTAGATAAAAAGTACAGAAACTTGAATGTGGCCACTCCATCACAATAGTAGCATAGTCTGTGAAGGTCAAATGTTTTATTTTATACTTTTCAAGCATACATTGATGCCTTTCCCCGGACCCCCCCCCCCCCCCCCAGGGGTTTTGGGTCTTTGTCCCCCTTTTCATCCTTGATGAGTTTGCATGCCTGGTTTTCTTATATTTGAATTGTAACAATTAGGATTTGCTTTTTGTCCGCAGAGAACAAACTAAATCATTTAGTGACTGTGATGAAAATAGCACTCCCAAAATAAGTATTCTCTTGGTTTATGCACACCTGTTGTGTGGTTTATTCTTCTTTTAAAAAAAAGAAGAAATCATGGAGTGTAAACCCTGTTAATCACAACATTTCTCTCTGTATAGAAATGGAGACATTTGTCCGAACTAAGGTGAGGCCAGAGCACAACATGTCAAAGACAGCAGCCATCCAAGAGAAGCAAACTGTGTCTCTGCAGCCTCAACCACAGGAAGAGGCAGAAGAGGAGAAGAAGAAGAGTGCAGCAAAGCCAAACAGAGAGCACGGTGTACTCCCAGCTATTATCACCACCCTGCTGCTCATCCCGCTACTGGTGGTCATCTCCATTGGACTCTTCATCTGCTGGAGAAAAAACAGTATGTATGACCCAAAAGTGTTTGACATTAACGAACACCAAAATAGATATCATTTTAATAAATCCAAATGAGGTAATCTAGTCATTTGTTTGGAATACCAGTTTAAATAATGATTCTTTTGAGGAAAGCAGGGCAGTATTTGCCATTTATTTATTGTATTGGTTATTTTATAACACATTTTAAATAGCACCCTACATTTTAGTTGTGTCTGTTCAGGGTTAATTATTGGTTAATGGGGGGAAAAATGATCTAAATTAGCATCACGTGTCTGCCTGAACAGAGACAACTATTTTGCTTTGTCTTTACTTGTCAGGGCGCAATGAACAGAAATGTCGGCATCAAAATTTCTGTTGACAAAATGAGCACCGATCAAATGAAAGACATTTTCTCCAGCACCCCATGACTGAAAGATTTTAGCTTGCTGTTAATTTCAATTAAGAGAGACAAGTCTGATAAAGAAGATAATTGTTTATTGTGAACAAATGATATGCGATGATAGTCTTCAGAGTCTTTGGTGCTTGGACTCTACAGGGAGACTTGTAATGGAGGGGCGTCTGCTCTGAGCAGCAGCAGCAAGATAAATCCCCCCGTGGAGTCCAGACACTGGTGGTGGTGGCTGATGAAGCTGATGAATCTGCAAAGATTGGGTGGAGGTTTGCGTAACAGCAGCATGAACGTACTGAAGATAGAGAGACGATCATATTTAAGAGAGGCAGCAGCACAATGATAGGCTAACCATGCAATTTTGTCGTTGTGCTATTGGATAGAGAGACCAGCTGATCTAAACAGCTGATATCATGATTGACAGCCCCAAACAATAACAGCGAGGAAATAATGAGTAAGCATGTGTGAGGAGTGACGGCAGATGTTTGGTAAATAAACTACGGGCTGAGGCATGCGAGAGTAAAGTCTTCCTGTCTGAACTTACGCTAGAGCTTCATTTGTGTGATGTGAGGACTGGAGCTTGTCTGGTAAAAATGGTTACAAAAGACTGTGTAACAAACTGGAGTTAACGACATTAAATTTTGGTGTATTCCAAAATTGTGGTTTATTCAGACCACAATCCGTTTCCTGGCCAAGTTTCAGTGTTCAGATGAAGCCTGGTGCTGCAGGTGTGAAACATTCTGGTCAAGCACATTTCAGGCAAAACCAAGCTGGGAGCTGATTCCCTATCCATAGCCTGAGAATCTCAAGTAAAGGTCAGTGTTGATAAGATAGTAGTCAAAGTTACTGTAACACACCATTTTGGGTTTATGAAATAAAACGATAATATCAAGTAAAGTCATTAATGAAAGACTTGTTTGCAAAACCAACTCACAAAGATTAATTAAGTTTCTCCTAAAAATAGGAAAATAATAGAAAAAAAGTACATGCCTTATATAATTTGATGTCTTTGTACTCTAATATTTGGTCAGCATTCGGCTTATTATTGAATATTGTTTGTTTGCAGACGCATGTGAGGTGAAAACTGAACCCAGTTCTGTGCGAGGGATCTTGGGAAAAATAAGAGGTATGTCATTTAACATAAAAAATCGAATGCCTTTTACCTAATGAATCCTCTCATTGACCCAGCACTTGTTTGTGACTTAATTCTTACACTATTTGTTTTTTTAAATTTATACTCTAAATCACGTGGCAAATTAAAGACATTGTTTACTGTGGCCCGCCAATCCGCCAGCAAAAAAAACAATAACTAAATGAAAAGTTAGACTTGCAAATAAAAATCCCCATTGTGGAAAGGATTTTAAGCAAGAAGCTGCTCTGGCGTAGAAAGAATAAAACCGATGTGGCTGAGGTGGCAACCAGAAACATCTGGTCGGTGTCATGGTTACAGATGGATGCACCAAAAGTGCCATGGGGATATTTTTATTATCAAGTCTAACTTTTCATCTTTTTTGCTGCCGGAAATGGGCTTCCATATAAAAGGCATATGATTGTCTTAAAATGTAAGTCTATGCTGCTTTACAGTGTACAGCACATGTGTCACACTCAAGGCCCGCGGGCCACATCCGGTCCGTGAATGAATTATCTTTGGCCCGCATGATAAAATCTATTTACTATTAGAGCTGGCCCGCCGGTATATCGCACGCACCACCATAATACTACAAATCCCACAATGCACTGCCCGTGTGTCGGCACGTCAATCGCGGGCCCGCGAACGCGCGCCTCACAGTCTGTATTACATACCACTTGTGTCAACTTTCAACTATCCCTCGCCCCAAAAAATGGCTAAACGAAAGGTGGAATTTGAAAACAGGAGTTTTCAAGACAGGTGGGAGGCACAGTATATGTTCGCGGATGTAAAGGGCAAAGCTGTGTGTCTTCTGTGCGGAGACAGTGTGGCTGTAATGAAAGAATACAACATAAGAAGACACTATGAAACGAAGCACCAAGACAGATACAAGCATCTGGACACGACACAAAGGCTGCAGAAGGTAGAGGAGTTAAAAAGAAGTCTGGTGTCACAGCAGGCTATGTTCACGAAAGCCAAATCACAAAGCGAGGCTGCTGTTAAGGCCAGTGTTATTGTGGCAGCAGAGGTTGCAAAATCAGCCCGGCCCTTTACCGAGGGGCAATTTGTCAAAAAAAGCATGATTAAAGTTTGCGATGCCGTGTGCCCAGAAAAAAGGCAAGCATTTTTAAATGTGAGCCTAAGCCAAAACACCGTTGCTGACCGTGTGCATCACCTTGCTGCCAATCTCCAACAACAGCTTGTGGGAAAGGGAAAAGATTTCATCACATACTCCCTTGCTGCGGATGAGAGCACCGACACTTCTGATACTGCCCAGCTGTCAATTTTCATCCGTGGAGTGGACTCAAGCCTGTGCGTAACAGAAGAGTTTTTGGGATTACACCCAATGCATGGCAGAACTACGGGGAAAGATCTCTTTGAAGATTTGAAGAGGTGTCCAGATGTGTAGATAAAATGGGGCTGCCGTGAGATAAACTTGTGGGACTGACAACAGATGGAGCGCCTGCGATGTGCAGTCAAAAGAGTGGATTGGTGGGGAGGATCCGAGAAAAGATGGAGGAGGAAAACGTCACAAGTGAGTTGACAGCTTATCACTGCATCGTACACCAGGAGTCGTTGTGTGGCAAAGCCTTGAAAAGGAAGACGCAGATGCTGCAGGAAAACTTGAGCCATTTTTCGCACTGCCAAACAATGAAAGAGCAGGTCGCTGCCTTCCCAACTACAGTTTGCTGAAAAACTCGGCATACTTGGTGCTGACTTCACACGGCGATTTGCCGATTTTGAAGCCCAAAAAAGCAGGTTTGAACTGCTCAGTAATCCATTTGCAGCTGACGTGGAAAACGCACCATCAAACCTCCAAATGGAGCTGATTGAGCTCCAATCTAATGACACACTGAAGGCAAAATATGAGTCTGTGGGCGCTGCAGTTTCCACGTTTCATCCCCGACACAATGCCCCAGCTGCGCTCCCAGGCTGCTCAAACGCTCTCTATGTTTGGCAGCACATACTTGTGTGAACAACTGTTCTCTTTGATGAAGATAAACAAAACTTCACACAGGACTCGTCTTACTGATGAGCACCTTCACTCAATCCTGAGGATTTCCTCAGCTCAGAGCCTGACCCCAGACATTGATGAACTTGTATCCAAGATGAGACACCAAGTGTCTGGCTCAGACCAGTGAGCATCACAGAGCAGCAAACGGTGCTTTGACGCATTTTCAGTTTTTAATGCAGTTTCATTTTTGCATTTTTTTTCTCTTGCTACTACAGGACATTTGATTTTTCTTTGAAGTAAATTATTTTTGGCTGTTTGCCTGTAGAAAATGTTTTCACTTGAAATTACTCTGGAAAAACTGCAGATAGAGTCATAAGCAATTAATGAAACTGATTTTATTACTTTTATTTATTTATTTATATTTCATTTATTTCATAATTAATGTTGTTTTATAGGCCTATAAAAGGCCTTGTTAGTTCCAGGTTCAATATGTGCACTAAGGTTCTTTCAATAAGTTTTTAATAAACGTTGAACCCGTCTGGCCCTTGACTTGTAGCAATTTTTTAATTTTGGCCCACTGTGTATTTGAGTTTGACACCCCTGGTGGACAGTGACCATAAACTACATTTCCCACAATGCACGTCGATTTTGTGACCTGCAAAATGACAGCATCCTGCCGCTAGACCGCAGTTTTTCCATATCGGAGTTTAACTTTGTCAGTTACATTTTATTTCACACTGTGATGGTGAACTGTGTAATTACTCCGTGGTTCACATGTGTGTGATCCGTTACACCACTATTATTCACTCACAACAACATGTTGTCTGTGTGCCGACATTAAAACTATCACAACAGGTGGACAGGAGAGGCAACAGCCCGTAAAGAGGTTTTCCTACAAGTGAGTTGAAAAAGGTCGACAAATGATCCCAGAAGAGACAAATTGATGCAGAGGGAAGAAAATTGAATGAAAGATGAGAAAGAGAATCTTTCTTTATTTAATTTAAAAGGGACCATGTACAGTTTAAACATAAATGTCTCCATTCAATGCACTGTACCAGATTGTAGCTTAAGCTAATTAGCATCTGCAGTCCCTTGGCAGGTCAAACAAGGACAAGACAATAACACAGTAAAAGGAAAAGACATAATACAGAGATATACCATAAAAACATACAAGACACCCAATACAACGCTACACACAAATAGCACATCAAAAATGAATGTGTGTCAATGAAATCAAGTCAGAAAAGACCACAAGAATAGAGGTCAGTGTGTGCAGTGTTGTGCAGTTTTTAAAAGACTTTTTAAGTTGGCTTTAAAAGTGCTAATAGAGCTGCAGCTCCTCACACCTTCAGGCAGGGGTTCCACTGGTGTGTTGCTTTTACAGAGAAGGCTGATTGTCCAAAAGTAGTGCAGCGAAATGGTATTGTACAGTCTCGTGTAGAGGATATTCTCGCTGATCTAATGGATGTTACTGAGCGAGTGTATACAAAGTCACGGAGTGGAGGAATACATGTTTGTGCTTCAAGGAGAACAAACGGTCTGTCTTCTGTGCTATGAGGCATATCTGTGATGAAGGATACAATTTACGTCGGCATTTTGACACCAAACACGGAGCTAAGTATGCTAAATTTAGCCTCCAAGAAAAACATCAAATTGTCCAAGAATTCAAAAGCAGACCGCAATCGCAGCAGAACATATTTACAAAAGCTACAGCCAAAAATGATGCAGCAAAGTGTTTTTCAGAGGGTGCATTGAAGCAGTGCATGCTAAAGGTGTGTGAGCAGGTGAGCTCCGATCAGATACAGACTTTTAAAATGTCCGTTTGTGAAGAAACACCATCACTGACCGAGTTCAGGAACTATCAGGCAATCTAACAACACAGCTAGCTAAGAGACAATACGATACATATTGCAATATATTGCAATATGTATCGTATTGCATCGCATTTGATTGTTTTTTTATGAAAATTTAAAACTAGAGCTTAAAATACAACTGGCTATGTACCACCTGGATAGTCTAATACGTAAATCACATATTGAACACTCAGCTGAAAAATTGCATCAAACTACTTCAAAAGATGCACATGATCACTCAGCAGAGAACACACTGAACTGAAATTCACTTGCCATAAAAAAATATATGAAAAATAAAGTGCATATTGTGTTCTTATTGTGTTAACTTACATGTAGATGCCGTAAATAAAATGCATTAAGTAAAGTTGTCTGTCACTGTGACTTCCCATTTATGTCCCATTCCTCCAGGTCCAGATGTTAGTAAGTCCTCTGGTATTGCCTGTGCGGCTCTAGTGCTGTGTTGTCGTGACGTAATCGTAACATTTAACTCGCGGTTTAGTCGTCTGACATCGCACGTTAGGGCTTCTCTCTCTGCAGGGGAAGCGATTTTTTGACACATCGACGTCGTCACCTCTTCGTAAATCCTGCCACTACACTGCTACATCCATCATGTGTCGGCAGGAATGAGTCGGGATCACATCGCGCCGCTCGCCAGTATACGGCCGCTTGCTTGGGAGACGCCATGTTGTGAGTTTGGCCGGATCATGTGACTGGCCGGCAGGTCACTGGCCTTAGCTTAGCTTTACAGTAGCGGAGGAGGAGGTTGTTTGACACACACACACAGGGATTTGAGGCAATTTAAATGTCATTGTCAATCCCTTTAAAACAGGATTTCTTTCCCTATGTATCGATACACTATCGTTTAAAAAAATGATCCCGATATTAAGCTATATCGATATTTTTGCACAGCCCTACAACCCAGTGCAGTCCAGCCAGCCTCCACTTGGAAAGAGACGTAACTCGCCCCACGTTGTTCACGCAGAAGGAAGAACTGAGTTCAAAATAAAAGCGACCTTCCAGTGATGGTGAACAAAGCAATTTCAAGTAGTCAGTCAGTCTGTCAATAATAAATCAATACATCAAAATAAATATTCAATAATAATAACTACCACCTACAAACTGTATTTCAGAGAAAAATCGAATTCTGGTAATAATTAGTCAAACTTAATAATGATTTCATAATAATATATTTCCAAAGGCTAATACGATTTCAAAATGACAGCACATCACCTCAGTGCCATTGAGAAACGTCCTGTTTCCACCTCAGAGTGTCTCTCAGACAATATTAAGACATTCTGAGGTGGAATTTCAAAAGTCTCCAAAAATGTCATATGCAAGCTCTAAATTCAGATTAGTTTACTTGAATGATCACACTGGTATGATCATATGCATAAAAAGGGTTGAATCATTGAGATGTATTTTATATATCGCAGCATAACCTACAAATCTCTGGATATTATTTATGATATCACCCAGCCGTTGTAGCAGGCTGAGGATTGGATGTTGATCCCTCAAAATATGTGTCGTACACTAGCAAATAGTATAACGTAGACAAATAATATAAGATATTATTAGGGTTTATTTAGCATACTGAGTGAGATGATCACCAAGTGAATTTCGCTGATAATACTTCGGGGCTCAGTGGAGAGCAGGGTCGTCCTTCAATCAGAGGGTCGGTGGTTTGATCTCGGTCCATGTCGATGTGTCCTTGGGCAAGACCCCTAACCCCAAGTTGCCCCCGTAGCTGTGCCTACGGTGTCTGAATGTCAGTTAGTCCTGATGGGCAGGTGGCACCTTGCATGGTAGCTCCTGCCATCAGTGTATGAATGGGTGTGAATGGGTGAATGATGACATGTAGTGTTAAAGAGCTTTGAGTGGTCAGAAGACTAGAAAAGAGAAATACAAGTAGAGTTTATTTACCATGTAGCATTCTGTACTCCTACTTTTGAATTTTCAAAGACTTTTTATAGTGTATAGTGTTTAAGTAGTTTTTACGATGTGATGTTTTTTTTTATTGACCCTGATTTTACATTTGGTCAATATGAATATTCAAATGTGAACTGTACTGTTGCAAGGCCGGTTTCAATATTGGAGCCAAAACTCTCCCGAGAAGGTAATGTTGTATTTGTGGACACTGTAGATAATCATCATGTTAGTGATGTTATTTTGTCCCTCTGGCAGGTAAAGCTGTGGGCAGTCTGAACCTGGGGAACTTCTTTGCGTCCCATAAGGGTTACAGTCGTCGGGGCTTTGACCAGCTGAGTACTGAAGGCAGCGACCAGGAGAGGAACGACGGGGACAGCAGCGACTCTGAGAATGAGGAGTACTCTGCTCTGCCACCTCCTCCGTCCTCCTCTTAGACACTCGGGCCAGCCACCAACTTCCTGCTTACATTGCCAAGATGTATATTATTCATCATGTGTGTAACTGTTGTGTTAGCTGCCAATGTTATTGTTTATATATTTAAAAATATGTTGTATATAAAAATAATTTAGCATCATTTGGACAATTTATTTAATCTTAATTGAATTAACCCACGGTCTTGATACAGCCTTGTTGACACAATTCACACATATCACTATGACAGATTGTTTTCCCCTAATCCAACTGGCCTTCAGTAAAATGATCAACACAATCCTCTGATTCAGCCTTAAGACAAGAACAAGAACGTTCAAAGGACTTTCTTGAAATGAGCATCAGGAACTTGTATTGTAAAGAGTTGAAAACAGATCGAAGCCCATTGCTGGATTTTTATTTTAACTCATAGCACACTTCACAAAATGACTTAACTAGATGGAGAATTTCTGTGACTGAAAGGTGTCAAGTATTACACAGTTAGACAATTGATTCATTTGTACTCAAAGCGACCTGTTTGAAACCTGAAGGGCTCCGTTTTCATAGCGGCAGAGCAGCATATGCAGCACTGTGACAGTTTGCTTTGTTCCTGATGATGACATTCGCTTCGCCGTCTGTTTGCCTGGTGCACAGGGACCACGAGAGGAATCCCTCTCAATCACTTATGACGAGTGTGTCACTATTCCCCAAATCCGTGATTGGATTTTACTTTTGATTTTAAGGTCACGATTCCATTCAAATTTTGATTAAAACATTTCGCCAAACACTTTGCTGGGCGCTGTTTTCTTTGCTGAAGGCCCTATTTGTTGCTGCAGTCTCTAAATCTCCAGCAGCCTACAAACTGTAGTTTTTTCTGTTAACTACCTGTTCGTTGTTCACATAACTCACTGGGAGGCCTATGTTACTGCGTCCCTGAAGTCACCAGTCAGGGAAGCAGGAGGATTGTTTCTATGTCAACTCCGGCAGTGGTCATTGGTTCTTGAAAAGTGCAGCTGCTGTCTACTGGTTAGCTACGCTGTGTCATCTTTGAAGGGTTTTATTCCTTTGAACACATGCAACAAGGCGGGGGGGAGAGAAAAAACAACAGCAAGCAACAATGTGACTACACATTGTACCTTTAAGATCATTACATTTCTGCAGACACTTGAAGGAATCAGGACACATGCAGCAGACTGCAGTTCCACTACGCATGGCCCAAGAAATACCTTGATAACAGGCTGGCCAGTGAAACACAGCTGTTTATGAGACATCACATGACCGGAGTTCATGAATCAAGTGCATCAACTACAAGTTATTAGAAAAAGTGGCATTTCATACAAAATGTGGCCATTTAACTCCTAAGAAGATAAAAGACTGACATTGTATTGAAATGAGGTGATCATGTAAAATTGTAATTGTAGTAAATCCTGTAAAGTATGTAAACCCCCCCCCCCCCCCACCACACATCTGCCTCTGACAGATGTGTGGTGCTGTGTTCACATCGTGCCGCTCTGCACTAAACAGACAAAAATCCGATTTCCTGTATAAGCAACTTGTCATCTGTTCTTGTTGAGCTGTCGTACCTCACTGTGATTGGCTTAGCTGTTTCAGAGAGATGAGAGCAGTGATTTGATTGACCGTATTTATTAATCACACTCATCTTTAATCCAAAAGTAGCGAGTGAGCTTAAATGCAGTCCGTGGTCCATAGATCTTTGTGCTTGCTCCATTAAGATAGAGCCCGAAGAAAAGAAGAGAGACCTCCTGTTGGCTGTTTATTTAGCTGTTCAGTGTTTTAGTTCAGCCGAGTCAGACCTGGACATGAATACAGTGTTTCATGGAATCTCAATATCTGAGTAAGAATTAAATCAAGCAGGATTAATTATAGATTATAGATTTATTGTGATGTTAGAAATAAATACTTTAACAACACTGATATAACATATAGTATAGACCGTTTAGTTTTACTGGACAAATGCATCCTTCCTTCAATAAATCTATTACATGTGTTAAAGCAACACACACAGCATTAGTTCAACATGATGTTTGGTCCAAGTTCAGTAACATTTCACTTGTAATTTTGTGCATTCTTACATCTGTATGTTGCCTTTCTTCAGCACCTGCCATTACAAAATGTACCATGGGATGAGAACAGCTGCTGCTTGTAGAGCTTGTACTGTATTGATTTCTCTTCCATTCAAGTGAACAGAAAATGGATGTTACTATATGTATATTTATGTCTGTATATTTGTGTGAGTGTGTGTGTGCACGATGCCAATCAAACAGCCAAGTCTCAAGCACTGTAACTATTACAACAATCTTACAAACTTCCAATAATATAAAGAAACAACATGAATTGAGAAATAATTGCTACATACATATTGTAACTTAAAGGAACCAGATCGGCCTGTTGGGAAGCTTTTAGCTCCTGACCAACAAATCCTTGATATTTTTGTGCTCTCTTTTTAAATGCACACTGTACTCTCACAACTTATTTGAGTTGAGTAATCCAAAGCAAAGAACATTATTGGTTTGGTGATCCAGTAAAAGTGAAGAGTAGTGCACTGCATGGCCTAATATTGTAGGGCTACAACTAAAATATTTTTCATTGATTAATCTGGCAGTTTTTTCTGGATCAATTGTCTCATCTATAAAATATCAGACAATATTTGAAAGTATCCATCTTCATTCCTGTGAGCTCAAATTGAAATATTAAAATATCTTGTTTTGTCGGACCATCTGTCCAAAGCAAAAGATACTAATGATATAGATGACAGAAAACTAGCAAATATTCAGATTTGAGAAGCGTGTGTAGTTCTGTAATGCTTGTCTTCATTAGGGCGGTCCTCAAGTGCATGTCTGCGTTTAATGGTTCTGTATCAGCAGTGTGATCTTTTGTGTATTGTGAATCGTGCACAGGTACATCAGCTGTTGAAAAGTTCATTACAATGTTTCAACCTGGAATTGTTTCTCAACTACACCTGAGTACAGGAAACATGTTCACTCAAACCTACGCCACAAGTCATTGGTTGTCAATCAAAGTATGTAATTCAGTGAAATCTGAATCAAGGACATGGGTAGCCCTAATAACAATGCATCAATTAATGTCCATTAATATAAGCTAATCCACTACACACATCATACAAAAATACACAGACACAGAGATGACACAAAAATGGTGGGATGAAGAGTATGTTGCTTTCCCAATCAGAATATTCAGTTTAATTCTGTATCCTCGGGTTTCATTTCATTTCCTCAATCTTTCATCAACCTATTCTTAAATTTCATCCTGTATTCTCAGACCCTAATCAAATATTTTGTTTGTACCAATATCTATTACATCTACCATATCTGTATTTGTCATACACTTTGTATGAATGAATTCCTTAATGGCATGCACGAGAAATTGCATTTCCAATGTTGCAGTCATGTGTGGGCTATCTGATATTTATTTTGACAGCATAATTTGCAGCAAGAGTACTATTTTCAGTAACTATGTTATTTGTGTAATAAAGTATCTGCAAAGTATCACAGTGTCAGATGTTGGTTGTATGAATACCACTCTCAGACATGTAGAACAACTGCTTGGGATAAAGGCCAATAGGCTTTGTCAGATGGCCTTTCTGTGGTGTGTGAGAAGGGAGCCAGGGTTTGTACTTCTCTCTAGCTCTCTTTTTTACATTCTCCACACAACTATTACTTTTCACGTGAACAACCAAGTGCAACACTATGACTGTCTTCCAAGAGAGATGATGTCACTCTCTCCCCTCTCTATGACAGACAGCTTTTAACACTGCCTTTGAGTGTGGCTGATCAGGGCAACTATAAACACATTTCATTCCAGACATGCTCAGACAACACATCAAGCGAACAAGTTCCGATTTAGCATAAATCCCAACACTAGACTAAACTCAACGCTTAGTCTGTGTCTTGGGTTCAGCAAGCTCAGTGTTTATCCAGGTTACCGCAGGGACTCATTGTCTTTTCATTGATTTCGGTAAACACTCGATGGCACAGCCTGCTAAACACTTCTGAAAGTATTTCCTTCATTAATAATAATAATAATACTTTAATTTTATATATCGCTTTTCTAAATACCCAAAGACGCTTTACAGGGCAGAGACAAACGGAACAAACAAACAAAAAAGACAGAGGAGCAAACAAAACAAAAACAGAACATTTTGGTAAAAATGAATAACTGGAGAAGCTGTGCGGAATGGGTCATGTAGTGGAGGGTAGGGTGCAGGGGTTAGCAGGTGAAAGCGAGTTTGAAGAGGTGGCTTTTGAGGGCTTGTTTGAATGATGATGGGGAGGGAGCCTCACGGATGTGGATGGGGAGGGTGTTCCAGAGGGGTGGTGCAGCAGCTGAGAAGACCCCGTCACCCCAGGTCTGGCGCTTGGTCCTGATGGTCTTCAGAGTGTTTGCACCGGCGGACCTGAGGCAACGGGTTGGGGCGTGGAGGGGGAGGAGGTCTGGATGGTAGGGAGGGGCCAGGTTGTTTAGGGCTTTGTAGGTGGTGAGTAGTATTTTGAAGTCTATTCTGTATTTGACCGGGAGCCAGTGGAGGTTGTGAAGGACCGGGGTGATGTGTTCATAGCGGCGGGTGGAAGTGAGCAGTCGAGCGGCAGAGTTCTGAACATATTGGAGTATATTGAGGATTTTGTTGGGAGAACCATAGAGGATGCTGTTGCAGTAGTCATGTCTGGAGGTTATAAGGGCATGGATGATCATTTCGGTGGTGGCAGAGGACAGGGAGGGTCTGAGGCGTGCAATGTTCCTGAGATGAACATTCATTAAATGTACTTGAATTATGTTTCTTTATTACAATAAACATATTACATTTACATTCTGCACCATGTATACTTCAACCCAAAAAGTAGAGGAGTAGTAGTATTGGAGTGAAGATTGACAAACTATTTAGGATTCACAAATTGACAAAATAATTGTCGCACTGTCATTTTTGTTCACAAAGTAGGATGACATCCACCTTATTCTGTTCATGTCAGCATTAATGAAAGATGGCTTGATTCCTACTGTAACTGACATAACGTAAACTATGTAAACCAACGCTAGTTGATTGATCAGTTGATTATTCAGTTGACCAAGGTGGTACAAGACCATTTATCATTACCATTTCTCCAACAAATCTGAAGCAAATATAAATTAAAGGATTTGTCCATACAGGATTCCGTGTTTCCCATCATTTATTTAACAAAACAAAACAAGCAAACATACAAAAGAACAAAGGAACTCCTATTGTTGCCTCTCCTGCTCTTGCTTAACAACCATAGGCCCACCCCAGTGCATGCTGCTCCTTTACCTGCCTACTCCTATATATAACTGCAGGTGCCCACAGTGTTACCCAATTCATAAACAAATGAACAAACCAAAGATACTAAGTATACCCGTTGGGCCCGAGTCCTATTTTTAGGCCTCTGCTCGAAAATTGCATACCCATACTAAAAAACTATAGTTTTTGTATATATAATATAACTATATATACAAATTTATAAGCTGTGATATCAAATAGCTTTTGCGGCTCCAGATGAATTTTATTTGGTGGAAAATAGGACAAAATAGCTCTTTGGATCGAAAAGGTTGCCGACCCCTGCCTTAGGTCGTCTGGGACCGGTCTACTTTCTGTTCCCAGAGTCAGAACTAAACATGGAGAAGCAGCGTTCAGTTGTTCTGCTCCACATATCTGGAACAAAGTCCCAGAAAGCTGCAGGTCTGCTGAGACCCTCAGCTCCTTTAAATCAAGATTGAAGACTTTTCTGTTTGCTGCCTTTAATTGAACCACATTCAAGGATATTAATCAATTTCCTGCATTTCTGCATTTTACTACTGTATTTTATTTCTTACACTGCTTTTTAGTGTTTTAATGACTGTTTTTATTGTTTCAATGAATGTTCTTAATTGTTTTTAAATCTCCTTTTCTTTTGCCTTATGTTTTGATGCTTTTAATGGTTTTATGTGAAGCACTTTGAATTACCATGTTGTTGAAATGTGCTATACAAATAAACTTGCCTAGCCTTGCCTTATGGAGAGAGAAGTGAAAAAACTTACAGCACCTTGTATTCCCAGGCGGTCTCCCATCCAAGTACTAACCAGGCCCAACTCTGCTTACCTTCCGTGATCGGACGCGATCAGAGAGGTGTGGCCTGTAAGGAAGTTTGTCTCCAACACATAGTCCTTTAAAAGCTGTCAAAAATTGCAGTCTTTTACAGTACATTTAGGACACGTTTATGTTTCAAAGGGACCCCGATTTAAAAAAATGAAGCAGTCCTTTCAATGGTCAAGAGAGTAGGGTGAATGGTGAATTAAACTTTACTTTTCTTCACAGAGAACTCTGACCTGTTGGGTGGAACCAGCTTGAAAAGACTCAAATACGAACAGTAGGTCAATTGCAAAATGTTAACGAACCTAAACCAGTTCATTAACATTCCAAAAATAAGAAAATATTGATATTCTATTGATTGATTCTCTTTTCCCTTTTTACCGTTACCCACCTCTTTGTATGCATCTCTTCAATTTTGCCTTTTTCTCACATATTTCTCAAATGAAAAAGCAGCAGTGTCCTCTGCCTGATAGAGAGAAGTGAGAGAACTTACAGCACCTGGTATTCCCAGGCGGTCTCCCATCCAAGTACTAACAAGGCCCGACTGCTTAGCTTCCGAGATCGGACGCGATTTCTTTTTTTAAATTTTTTTTTAATCTTTTTTATTATCAAAAATAACATGTAATCACACAACAAACCATTCTTTCCATATATACAAATATGTACATTCCGATCATGATATTTATCATAAAGACAACAAACATCTGATGGGGAAAAAAAGGAAAGTACGGACTAAAAGCTATAAACACAGAAAAAAAAGAAAATAAGAGAACCAAAGATTCCTTCTCTGTTAAAATAAAACCCTCACAAAAAAACAAAAACTAAACAAGAACCCAGCAAACTAGACCAAAAACAAGAGAATCATCAGTTACTTTACATAGTGTATCGTTTGGGGTGAAAAGCCCGAGGAAGGAACCCTTTTTATATTCATACAACAGCCTGAAGTGTGTTTTGACGCAGCTTCTAAAGACTGCTTTCAGGTCCATGTCCTGCTCAAACAGAGTGCTGTTTCTCCTAAGTAGGATCACGTGCCTAGCGAATGCTAGTAACGAGTTCATCGCACAACAATTTCTGGCCATTTCCAGCAGGCTCAGGTGGGGCTCGTTAGCTGCCGATCAACATCCTGAAAGACAGAGTAGGCAGCGAACAGGAGACAGACCCCTAGTGGATGGGAGGGGTCGTCACACCCCCCCTCCATAAAATCGGTGTTCCCACCAGGAATACCGAAAAACTACATACAGATTTCATACAAACGGTTGTGAGTGCATCCCCCCCCAAATCAAGATTTGCCAATATGGTGTGTATTTGTTTGTTTGGGAACAGCATTTTCCATACCTGCTCAGATGCTGTTTTGTTTTTTCGTATAAGGATAAAGGGTTTTCGTTTTTACTTGTGATGACTATTTTGTCCTCAAAGCACAGAAGAAAACCTACCCCATCACCCTGCATCGTGCTGTTTTCCTTCATTACAGACAATCACTCTTGATTTATACAATCAATTTTCCCACGTATTTCTTTTAATTGTTTATTTCTAATCACTAGTTTTGCTTTGTTTAGATCCTCTATAGTTTAGCCGTGTCAAATTTCCCATCCTTATTACAAATTTTCCCTATTGAAGTTAAACCCCCTTCATTGTTTTCCACACACCAGGGGACGACCTTTCGAGGTGAAGAAAGATGTTGAAAGAAAAGGTAATCTCATCACATGCTCTTTATTTTTACAGTCAGGTCTGAGGTAGGGCAGAATCTTGTCCCATGCCTCCAGCACTTCCCTGTAGAACCCAGTCAGTCCCTCCCAGACATTTCTGCGAGAGAAAGCGCATAGATTGTACAAGCCTCTCTCCATATTCTGCCAGGAGGCCCGTCAGGTAATCCTTCCAGGGCAGCTGCCTCGTCAAATCCAAGTATTTCCATATCAATTTAATCCTTAGTGTGTCCCTTTTTGCACTAACATCAATCAGAGCTAATCCCCCCTCCCTTTTATTTGCTATTAATGTCTTGCGAGCAATCGAATTTCCCTTTCCCCTCAACAGAAAAGAGGAGATTGCGCTGTTTACTGAATTTAGAGGCCATTCTGGCAACTCACAGGACCTATTTATTTGGATGCTCTCCGTCAACAACCCGTTGCATTTTACTTCTTGCGCCTTGGTAAACCAATTTTATCCATTTCCTATAATTTTCCCCGAATCCAAAACGTTTTAAAACCTCCCACAAAAAATTATGATTGACCCTGTCAAATGCTTTTTCTAGATCAACACCCAGCAGAATTCCCCCTTCACTGTTCATAGTCCCCACAGTATCCCTTATGGTATGTATTGTGTCAGCTATGTCCCTTCCCGGTATGCTATACGTTTGTCCAATTATTTTGCCTATGACCTCTTTTAATCTATTTGCAAGTATTTTAGTAAATG